CAAATATAACAACAACTGCTATAGGTATCAATACCTATATTAAGCCTTTCTTTCTGGATCACTCTAGAGTTATTATTACTACCTTATTATTACTTATCCGAACCATAAAGTCGCATTGAAGATCATTTTTATGCTGTAAATGTTGGTGTTTTGCAGAGATTGCCTGGCTCTGTGCTTTCTGAACAGCGGCACCAGCTTTGTGGCAGGCTTTGCCATCTTCTCCATCCTGGGTTTCATGTCTTATGAACAAAACGTTCCCATCTCTGAAGTAGCAGTGTCTGGTGAGACAAAAACACAGCAATGATTTGGTTCTGTTTCTTCTGTGCATCCATTTTTACCACAAAAATATAATCCTGCTGGTTAAACAGACAGATTTCACAAAACGTAATATAAAAAAAGTGGTTTCCATTTTTATTCAGCCACTTTTACTCAGATCCCTTTTAAGGAAAATAAATGCTTTCACAGGTCTGCTTCAGCAAAAAAAAAGCCTAATGAAAACCTGTGAACACTCTTTGTCTTGATCTCTAACTTCCCAACTGTGCATTTTTTCTTCGCATGAGGTCAAAATCTTAATCTCCATTGAAATTTGCAGTTTTACTGTGGAGAAAAAAATGTAAAGATTAGAAGTAAATGGATATTTTTTGTGTCATTTGTAAAGGCCCTGGCCTGGCCTTTATTGCCTACCCCCGCGCCGTCTCCATGATGCCCTTCTCTCCTCTGTGGGCGGCGCTCTTCTTTGTCATGATTGTTTTCCTGGGCCTGGACAGCCAGGTAGGCAGCTGGGCACCTTTTTCTGTCCCCCTGACAAAAATATCTCTTGAATATTTACTGATGTTTGGTTTTCTAACACCTTCCCTCAGTTCGTGTGTGTCGAAAGCCTCGTAACAGCCATCGTAGACATGTACCCCTCTGTGTTTCGACGCAAGAACCGCAGGGAGCTCTTTTTATTAGGACTGGTCCTCTTCTCCTTCCTAGTGGGCCTCATCATGCTGATGGAGGTATATAAATAGGCTGTTTGTACATTAAATATTTAAAAATGTTATATTTTAATTATGTCAAAAAACTATAGGGCCACTGAAATAACACAAATCAAAAGACATACTTGTGCTAACATCTTGAATTTCGGGGATAGGTGAATGGACAATTTGCTCTATAAAATTCCAACATAGTTGACATGGTTTCACCTCTGCACAGCTGGAATCATGAATGCTCTGTCTTCATTTTGTAAGTGCAGTGCCTCTGAGGTGAGTGCTATGCAATGATGCCCTTTAGAGCCAAACCTGAAGCCACCAGTAGCTTGCCTGGAGTATTTTAATCATGCATTTCATGCAAATTGACCACAGCCCTTTCTTACACTGTAAACTTTATTAGGCAAAACTGAAACCAAGTTGTGTGTAAAAATTTGAAGTGCATCAGAATTAATATACATCTGACCTCAGCATCAAGCCAAGATTTTAATGTTTTGTTTTGCAACTTTTAACCTCATTAAGTAAATACACTAAAAAAAATTGCTTTATATATTCTCAATTTTTCAATGAGGGATAATATGATTTGAATATTTCATGCATTTATATAAATGATCCTTACATATTAGAATGTGCACCTTATACAGTTGAGAACTGTGTGTAGAGCAGCTGCAGAAACTGTGTTCTTTAGGTCAGAAACTTCTAACCTAAGCTTGTGTTTTTTTATATTTTCTTTAATTAATTGCAAAGTTAGAAAAATTACATTTTTATCTGGGCCTCAAGGTAAACAGCAGAGTTGCTTATGAATGAAAGTCTGATTTGTATGTTAGAATGATAAATAAATAAATCTGATTGGTTCTTTTTTATTTTTCCAGGGGGGAATGTATGTTTTCCAGCTCTTTGATTATTATGCAGCCAGTGGGATGTGTCTTCTCTTCATGTCCATCTTTGAGACCGTCTGCATCGCCTGGGTTTACGGTAGGGAATCAACAGACTGCTTTCTGCAGGGTTAAATGCCCCATGCTGAGGCATGTGTCCTCATTGTGAATTTTGCAGGGGCGGATCGTTTCTACGACAACATCGAGGACATGATTGGCTACCGCCCGGGACCTTACATCAAATACTGTTGGTTGTTCTTCAGTCCAGCCACCTGCATTGTGAGTATCAGCAAAACTGAAGCTTTTTAGAAGTGATCACCACAGCTGAGAGAAGGAATTATTATTTGGGTTTTTTATTTTATTTTATTTGCTATAAAAATAAAAATTCTTCTCTTTTTGTCTCTGTAGGGGACATTTGCCTTCTCCCTCATCAAATACACTCCTCTTAAGTTAAACAATGTGTACATATACCCTTGGTGGGGCTACGCCATAGGCTGGCTGCTCGCCCTTTCTTCGATGGTCTGCATTCCTTTCTGGATGGTATACAAGATTAGCACCACACAGGGTACACTCAAAGAGGTAAGTAGATCTCTTTGAAGCATTATTTTTGATCATTTTTAGTATGCAACAACAGCGACAGGAACTATTCTATATTTTTGAAGATGAATTCTTTAAATTTCCCAGTTGAATGTGGGACACATCGACTCTATCTAAAGTACAAGACACTACATAATAACTTGCAACTCAACTCCTAACAACTTTCCATTTATGGGACATGGATAAAAGGAATAGAAAACTTGTTCAGATGTTAAACTAAATCTTTTCTATGGCACTCAAGCACTTTAAATCTAAGTGAGTCAATTTTTCTCACATTAAGTGCTTTTTTTCTTAAACTGAGCAGGTAAGTGAGATACTTTGCCAATGGAATAAGACAACTTATATCTAGAATAAGAAAAAAAACTGCAGTGTCTTATTTCAAGTGCATAACATCTGATTATCTTATTTTAAGCCTTTACTCATTCTATTGGCAGATAATCTTATTTACCAACTCAAATCAAGGGTGAATAGAGTTATTTTAAGATTTTTTTTTTGTTTTGGCATAATCTTATTTTCCCACTCAAATTAAGGGTAAATACACAAATTTTAAGATTTTTTGTTTTCGCAGTGTGCCCCTTTTCAAATAAAGCCCTGGGCAAGTGCCCTTATATCATTAAAAAGAAACGACTTCTCCCTCTAGTGGCTTTTGTTTGCCTATTCATCTTTAAAAAATTGACTCAGATGATTGTTTTTATTTTTTACACAGCATTTAATGTATTCATTTATCTACAGCGCATCCAGACACTCATCACACCATCCGATGATTTACCTAAAACCAAAAGGGAGCAGGAGAGGTTACTGGCCATCTTTGTTCCTGAGGACGACTCGACCAGAACGACAAATGGCTACTTTCCAGTCTCAGAGAGCGACTCCAACTTATGAGGTCCTATAAGAGCTTCATTAGCAACATGGGTTAATGTAAGAAATTACTTTAAACAACCAAGTTTTCTTAATTTTTACTCACAAATGCAAAAACTACAAAAAAGGGAAGTTGTATCTTACCAACCTTAATACAATAAATGTATATTATGGACTCAGAAGATACACAGCCAGTTTAGTGCTGGGTTTGGTGTATTTGTACTCTCATAAGGAAGGGTTGAAATAATTTCTAAAAGTAATATGCCATTTTTAATCTATTTAAAATTTAAGAAACTTTGACACTTAACGGATTGATGAAAAAAACATGTACTTTTATATTAGGTGATCTTTAAGTCTTTATTATTCTGATATAATGAATAAATAAAGAAGTGACTCTTTGGCCTTTAGACCACTTAGAGTAATGCTGTTATCTTTTGTTGTGGAATAATTAGCTCAAATATAAAATAGCTGTAAACATTGTTTATATAGCAATATTGCACAAAGCTAACATGGTAAATAATTTATAGATTCATTTTTATAACATAACATATGTTGACTGTACAAAAAATGTGAAAAGTGTGACTTTGAATAAACTGTTTTTGTCTTTCACTGCTTCAGATCTCTCTTTTTTTTTATTTCCAGAATAATTGAAATGGGATATATTCTGGAAAGTACCCATCTTAATTTCCTTGATTTCCAGTCATGCTAAAATCACATGTTCTTTTTAGTTGTTATCAGATCCACTAGTAGTTGATGAATTTGTAAAAGCGTAGATTGTTCTGGGCTTTACTGACATTGCAGAGAAAACTGCCTGCTATTTACCTTGATATCCTCTAGGTGGGGTCAGATAAAAAAACAAATAATAATAATAATAAAATAAAATAAAAACCCAGTAATATTCCTGAGGTTTTAAACTTTCCTTTTTAAAATTATATAAAATATGGATATTTTTTTAATTTATTTAAAGAATCAAAATCATTGGTGTAGCGATACTTTTCCAATACTGTTTTAGCTGAATATCTAGGCTTTTATTGTACAGGTTTGTCAGGAATATCCTGTTAATTTCAAACCCTCAGTATTTTGTTGTAATTTTTATTTGCTGATATGTCATCAGTCTTTTCATATAGAGTAACTTAAAATATTAATAAGGCTGACTTTATATAAATAACAAAACAATATTAAGAATAAAGGGATACACACTGATTTATGTACACATTTTAGAAACATTTGTTTATGGGTGCAAAATGTCAACATGTACTGTTCTATTAAATGGATTAATACAGGTTTGTTAAATTGGGGGTATATCTTTTAAAATTAATAACATATAAACAGGAATAAAGTTGACATGTTTATGAAGCCTACATTTCACTTTTAAAAACGTATTGCTATTGACTTTATGTGTTATTTAAATCTTAGTTTTTTTGTCATTGTAACTGGTAGAAATGAAAGTCTTAAAAAAAGATCAGCTAGTAATGCATTTTTTTAAAGAATAAATTTACACTTTAATTTGTATTATGATTTAGTGAATATAACTTGTATTTTTTGCTTTATTGATTTTATGATTCGACGTTTTGCCATAATGATGGGGCACTTTTGAACGTTGTTCTAGAATAATTGCAGCACTGGTTATTAGTCTCCTCCTTTACCTCCTCCGAGCTTTCTGATTGGCTATTACCGCAGCGTCTCCGCGTACGTGCCTTTGTGACGCCACCACGCTTTCCCTACCATGCGACGCGTCATGTCCGAAGAAAGATGGCGGAAGGCGGAGCGGCAGATCTGGATACCCAAAGAGGAGAGATCGCGGCGCTTCTGAAAACACAGTTACGAAAGGGAGACACTTGGTAAGACTTAAATCAGAACGTTTTAATGTTTACCAGGTGGCTTTATGCAGGCTCTGCTCGGGCTGACAACGCAACGGAGGGTTTAAGAAAGCCCACGGGCCGTGTTGACAGGGAGCTGAGTCCACAGAGGCTAACGGGAGCCTGTCTGGTACACTTAAATGAAGAACGACTACTTTTTCGCTTACCTGTTAAAATAACTGGCTTGGGTTATTATATTTAACACTGATAAACCCCCTATCGTTTCATTGTTGGGTGTACGTTTTTATACAGTATGAATCCGTGTGCTTTTCCCCTGGCTAAATTGAATGCTAATAGCTAATTGCTTAGCAGCCGTTGCTCCGAGTGGTTTTCCAGTCAGAGGGTTCATTTAGCAGGGCGGAGTCGGAAAACAAGCACCTGTCAAAGTCCCGGAGCCAACTGGTCACGCTGACAGCAGCAAACTCACACTTGTGGCTATAAAATCTGTCGTTATAGTATTCAAGCATGTTAAATTGCCTTTGTTGGTGTTGTATAAACTGAGTATACAGCAGAAACGCAGAAACTTCCAACACTGTTACGGTGGTCTTATAACCAGAGGCGTTGCCAGAATATTTTCATAAGGGTGTCCAGGCAATAACCGATATACACAGAGGGGTGGCCGAAAGTGGATAGGCGCCAGAACCTCAGGGTCAATCTACACTATTGCAACAGGAAAATGAACAAGCACAACATCTATATTTTCTAAATAAACACAAACTATACTTTCCTACCGTCTTTGCTAAGAAATAGACGTGCTCTCTATATAAAGGTATAAATAAAATTCTTTCAGGTTTGAGTTGTGGGGCAAACATCTCTTCCTTTGTCATTACTTGCCTACTTTTTATCAACAATTATTCTGCATAAAATTGATATTTACAAGAACTAATATATACATTAATTGATTATTAAGGTTTTATTAAAATAGTTATTTATGATTTATCTGATCACGCCTACATGACTTTCAGAGTCACATCATTTTCTCTTTACCTCATATAACACAAAATCTAGTTCCGAAAAGAGCATGAATTATCTTTAATGTTAGTATATTAATGTGCATAATTAACAGCATTGTTTTTGTTGTCAAGTAATTGTTAATATATGAAAGGTTAAAATGTTTTGAATATTCTACTTGAGAGTATTACTGCTGGGAACGTCTGTATTAGAGGGAATAAAAAGGGGTGGCCAATGATTAGCTAAGGTCACCCCTGGCCCCCCATCTAGCTCTGCCCCTGCTTATAACCACTGATCCTGCTTTTTCTTCAGGTACCTTGTGGACAGTCGTTGGTTTAAACAGTGGAAGAAATATGTGGGGTTCGACAGCTGGGATAAATATCAGATGGGCGATCAAAATGTCTACCCAGGACCGGTGGATAACTCTGGGCTTCTCAAAGGTAAGAGATCCACAGACCATTCCAGACTGTAGCTCATAATAGTGCTGTTATTCAGAAAATATGTTCTGGTTCATAATGATGTTGGGATTTTCTTTAAAGTTTGAAGCAACCACTTACAATATATGACTGATTTACAAATATAATGTAAACAAAATGAAAAGTTCTTTATTTATATCACATAAGTCCATCAAAGTACTTTGTTTAGTTGCTTTGTTTAAAATTCATATTATTAATTTAAAATGGTAGCCCATTTATTTCAATTTTATTCTCATTCTGCTATTTACCCAATTGATTATTGAATCTCTATCAGGCATATACGATCAGCAATATGAATATTTTTGATTTTCTTTCCTTATTGCTGTGGTCAATAATTAAGATCAGAGGCAACCTCACTAAATATTAGAGAGCAGGTGTTGTAAAACAGGGATTTATTAATATTATAAAACAATAACAATAGGAATAAGGTATTTTTACTGTTTTTTGCTTCTCATATTAACTGGTTTCTCTGTATGTGACTATGGAAAATTTTAATTCTTATCCGTATGGTAACAATCATCTTACAGTTACTGTTTAGACTGTGGAAAAATGTTCAAATATTACACAAACAATTAGTGCCACTACTTTTATCATTTATGACTGCGTCTGTGTCTTATAATCATTGTGGAAAGCTTGATGTTTGGGTAGCTTTATTTTTAAATGTCATTGCTTATGTGGAGATCATGCCTGAATAGTTATAGTAGATTTTTATAGATGAATTGATTTTTTTTTTGTTTTGTTTATGAAGATTTCATTTTTGTATAATCAAGATTTTTTTCTTTTTTGCTTTGTCCCCCTCCAGTCCACTTTCAGGTCCTCCATAGCCCAGGATGATATCAGTTTATCACTTTTGGTTCTTCGATGTGCATCCATAACTGATAAACTAGTTGCAAACATTTAGTTTGTTATATTTTCATTGTTTAAGTACCTCCCAGAAGGGAAGATTCAAATAAAGGCTAATTTTTGAAAAATAAATTGTAATTTTCATAAAGTAAGAGATTAGATTTTTAAGCCATATTGTTTGACGTTGATATTGCTGGTTTGTACTTTAACCATTATTTCCCTAATGCTTGTTCATATTTCCATATCTGACCATGTTCCATGACTTTCTGAAAACTCTAAAGGACAAAACAAAGGTTCTTTATTAACTTTATCCTTAATATTACATGTTTTTTTTTTTTTTTTTTTAACCTCCTTTCCCAGCTTGACTTAACTCTTATCATGGCAATCACCTTACTATCACTGTTTAGATTGTGGAAAATGTTTAAACAGGCCACATAAACAGCTTGATCTGTCTTTTTAAAGGGCTTCTTTCAGCTCTCTGCTGGACAAGCTTCATTTTGAGTCATTAGCTCACTTCTCTGTGGGTCTTAACTTTGAATGTTTTTGACTGTATTTAAGTTAAACCTAAAGGCTGTTTGATCATTCTGGAAACACAGACAATAATTTTAGATAACATTGTTGAGTATGTCTTTAGAATATGAGCGGTTGGTTCAGTGAAAGCCCTCCTCTTCTCTTTGTTCTGTTTTGTTTCTCTGGATCTGTGATGAAAGCCTTGACTTACTCGCTAAGCTGCCTTTCTGCCTTGTTTGTTTCTCACCGTCTCTTCTGCTGCTCCCTAGATGGGGATGTGCTGGCAATCAAGGAGCACCTCATCGATGAGCTGGACTACATCTTGGTGCCGACGGAGGGCTGGAATAAGCTGGTCAGCTGGTATGGGGTGACAAAGGGCCAGGAGCCAATCGCACGAAAGGTAGGCTTTGTTTGTTGCTTAAGAAATATAATGGGTTAATTAAAAAAACATGTCAGTGCTGAAGAGAAATTTGTTCTCTTGCAAATTTTAAAATGTTTTAATGGTTTCATATCTTTATCTAGAGGTTTCAGATTTATCCTGATTTTGAAAAAACTGGTCATTTAAGTTATTTATCTGCCTATTTAGTGTTTTTTACTGTATTTTATTTTAGGGCTGGGGGATTTGTGATACTATCGTGATAGGGATAGTATTGATGATTAAAAACACTTTTCATTGGTTCTTTAAAGTCGTTCTTGGGTAACTATATAACTGTGACTGCATGCAACAGCCATTATAGCCGCACAATCACAAACACTTATGTTTTATTCCCTCTCTTTAAGTTTGCTGACTTATGTTTGGTATCCCAGTGAGACCGAGCTAGAAGTCCCATGAAGCACAGCAGCAGACAGGAAGTGACCTCTGTTTAAAAGGGCTGAAGTTTAGTTTCCCTTCCAGGTGCAGAAATACTTCACCTGCACAGCAGAGATGAAGAACATCACTATAGGCTGAAACAAATTCACCTAAACCTTATATTAGCATTTTTATTTTTTATTTATAATAATGAGGCTAAAAAAAAAGCTAAATCTACTTTCTGTGTATTTGTGTGAATGACCTCACAAGACGCACCATAGTCCGGCTGCTCATCTGTATTTATAAACATTATGGACTGATATAAGAAGGAGGAGTTAAAAATAGGATATTGTCATAAACAAAAGATGCTTTACACCTTCTGTCATCAGGAGCACATGCTGTTACTCCTGGTCAATCACAGGTACATTTACTTAATCTGCTATTTATATATATATTCTCTTTGACCATCTAAGCCTTATACAGGGTCAGGTTTACATAAAATATGCAAAGAAACTTTGAAGATGCATCAGAATAATGGATTAAAAACAGTTTTAGGGATTATTTAGATGTAAATCTGTTCTGTATCTTTAATTTCTGCTTTCTGTATTGCATAAATATTTTTTAAGTGATTTATTTCTGGTAAAAGATTTCTGATTCAGATCTCTGACATTTTTATTGTGTTTTTATTTTAAGTTATTTAATATATTTTTATTTAATTTTTAGATTCATTTATTTATGTAGCTGCCATCAGAGTCAACTAATTTAAATATTTTAATATTTAGTTAAAAACAAGAGTTAATACATACTAGTATTGAAATTAAATGTTCAATGATAAATAAAAAGTTAAATACCTTTCAGTAAATGTATGTTTATTTACGTTGGTTAAAAAGCACATTAAAATGTAAGGAGGAACCTATGTTTTTGTTCCGTGTGTCACGTTGTTGCCCATGGGAAAGATTGACTGATGCAATTTTTTGCATCACTGAGATTGTTTTCCATGAAGTTTTAGCAGGAAAATTTAAGATTTTTTTTGTAAAACCTGTATAAATTATCTTTATTCCTCTGGAGTTTATCCGGCCAATGAGATACGACTTTTTTTTACTTGTATTAATTTGTGTAAACCTTTATATTTGTTTTGAGCTAATTTGGGTTTCTGTTTCCCTTCTTTGTTCTGACGGCATTTTTTGCGGATTTTTAAGACGTGTCCACAATAAATGGCTGTTAAAATGAGAATAACTTATCTCAAGAGGAGTAACAATTTATTTCTTTATATTTTATTTATTATGATCTATTTTTATTATGATTTAATTTAATTTTTTTAATTTTTGTCATTTTTTTAGATGAAAGAAAAAAGTAGTTTAAAATGGAAAATATCAGTTTGAATGTAGATTCTAAAGTATATTGATGATGTCATCTCTGCTGTAAGTTTAGCGTGGTTTGTTCATACGAATGGAATTCAATGATGTTTCTGATAATTAGGATGTTGAGGGCTTTAGGATGGAATGCTAAGGATCGAGTTCTCCCCTATAAATCTCACTAACGGCGGCATCGAGGCCCCTGCCTCTGTCACCTCTCTCGTTTATTATCTTTCATTCTCTCTCCCCCTTCATTGACCCTCCCCCTGTTGCCATGTATGCCATGGCTCGTATCGGGTGGCCGTGGGGTTTCTATTTTCAGGCAAACGTTCTGGATGACAGAAACGCTACATGGAGCGGGCTACAAGACACAACATGCAGGAGGTTCATTACTTTATTTATTTTTTTTTCTCTGATTTCGTTTTAGTGAGAGGGCAGGAGATGTGGGGCAAAGGAACTCTGGGTCTGTGCGCTCTTCTCTTCGGGTTTGAATGCGGTAGAGGGCTTCTGCGTTCTTGTTTGAAGTGGAGGACTGCCCGCTGAGGTCACACTGATGAAGGCAACATTTTCAGAGGAGTGCAGGAGAGGCTTAACCAGTTTGGGGGGGATAGAAGTGGGAGGGGTGGGATTAGCAGTTTGGAAGGTGTTTTGCCTTAATTGCGCTGCTGCAAACTTTCAAATGTGCAGCAGTTGTGCGGAGGTGTTTGGATCGGTCTGCTGAACAGATCTCTGGGTTTGTGGGGAGAACTTTGCTGTGTGTGTGTGTTAGAGGGGCTCAGCGGTGAAATAAATAGGCTGGGACTCCTCAGCTGTTTCCACGAGGTGTGGCTAAATTAAGCATTCGACTCTGATTCTGTCATAGCACTTGACAAGTTTCAGCCAGAGCAGCAGATTTTGCTCTATTGTGCAAGAAGGGCTTCTTCTAGAAAAGCAGAAATTACTGCTGACCTTAAATCCATGATGCCTTTTGGAGCTTTTGTTTATCCAGGGGTTAAAGTTCACATAAAGGAGAAAATAAGATGCTGGATTTTTTGCAAAGCAAAAGTATTTATTTCTATCTTTTTTTATATAATCATGTGGGGTTTGTTGTGTTATTTTACAGGTGGTGGAACAGGGTATGTTTGTGAAGCACTGCAAGGTGGAGGTGTACCTGACGGAACTGAAGCTTTGTGAAGACAGCAACATGGACAACGTGATCACCAGACGCTTCAGTAAAGCCGACACAATAGGTAGGCATCCAGACCCTCTGGGTTACAATGAAACTCGCTGGGTTAAACAGAGACTCTGCATCTTTCAGTGTGTTTATGTGAGGCCTGTCCTGCCGTGTTCTGGTCCAGTTTACATCTGAAAGTCTTTTTAGGAGTTAAAACTACTTGCCTTTGAAACTGAACTGTTCTTTTTAGTGGATAGACGCACATTTTGACTAGGCCATCGTGTATGCTTTGTTTTAATCCATTTCATTGAGGCTGATGTTGCTGTATGATGCTGCCACTACTGTGTTTTATCAGGAAAACTTTTGTTTTCTCAATCTGCTCTGACAAGATATTAAAGGAGGAAAGACTGTAAATATCTAATCAAGCCAGTGTGTATCTACTTATTCATTTTGGGTCCAATGCCGCCTGTCTGGTTTTATGTAACATTTACCTCTGATCTTAGTTTGCTAGCAGTGTAGTTGATCAACTGCTCTAATGATCAGTTGGCTCAGGGTTAAACTGCGGAAGAAGATAGAGATAGATGGTCTTTGTTTATGTCTGTAATGATTTCAAACATTTCAGATTTCTTTATCTGGGCCCATTGAAAAGAATCTTAAAAATCCACTTTCTGCATGCATTTAATTGTAGTTGAAGTAAAACAATAATGTACGTTTTTAAATCATCTCTCTTCATCTGCATCAATGCAAATATACAGAGACGATAAGATCCTGCAGGTTATCAGACAGAAATATTTGTACAAACAAAACCCAAACAGCTGAAGATCACTTAGGGGTACACGTTCAATAAAATGGAACCCTTTCTTTTGGATTTTTTTGTTTTATTAAAAAGAGAATTGTACTTTTTGTGTTTATGGAGTTTGGGATTTTTATGAACATAGAAAAAAAAAACAATCAATTAGAGTTTTAATTTCAAAGCATTAGCCTCATCGCCAAGACATAACAACATAGTTTATTCCTAAAGTTGGGTCCTATTTTCCCCCTGGGTTGGTTCTGGATTTGATCATCCCTACAAAGGAGGCTGATCTAGATCATCAGACTTGAAATATTATTCATAAGCTTCTTCATTCATTTCAAACCCATCACTGAGTAACACTCCTTAATTTTCACATTTTGTCATATATACTGTCAAATGTTAAAAACAAAGAGGAGTGGAAACCAGTCAGATTTTCTAAGCTTCTACTATTATATGAAAACCAGTGATAAAGTCCCTCTTATCTTCTATTTTTGCTGCAGATATGATAGAGAAGGAGATGCGAAAGCTGTTCAGCATCCCTGATGAGAAGGAGACACGACTGTGGAACAGGTACATGAGCAACACCTTCGAGCCTCTCAACAAGCCGGACAGCACCATCCAGGACGCCGGACTGTACCAAGGACAGGTAGGGCCTCCCTACTCTTCTACCTACAGCTGGCTGTAGTGAGTAGACCTGAGTAATTAGGTCCTTTTAGATATAAAAGTGTTTGAATAAGGCCTTGAAAATGTAATTTATTTTTATTTTTAAAGTGTAAAGCTTGTCTGAGTTCAGCTACGTTTTTTATTTCTTCATTACAAGTCAACTCCGTGTCTGATTTCTGCTTGACCTCATCCAGTAAAAAGTACCTCTATAAAGACAGAAAGGAGGGTAAAAATTAACACAAAATGAAGAAATCTGAGATGAGGCGCCGTGTGTGTCTCATCGTCAGCTTCGTAACTTAAAGGTTGATTCTCGCCGCAGCAGCAGACCTAAATGGAGACCCCTGTTCTTTTGGTTGTTGTCCTACAGGTTCTCGTCATAGAGCAGAAGAACGAGGATGGCTCATGGCCCCGAGGCTCCATGGCTTCCAAGTGAGTAAAGGTCAAGGGGCGCTGTTTTTAATTTTTCTTTTTTCTTAGATTATCTCCTTCTCTTCTAACAGCGCTATGACAGATTATTTAGGATGAGGTGTTGAATGGCTGAAGGCCTTTTAGGATTAGCTGATGTTAAGTAGCCTCATGTTCTTGTCTTTAAAAAGGTGAAGCTTTAAGCTGTAAAGCGATCATCTAAAGCCTCTGCACCATCTTCCCCTGCCTCAGTCAGCCTCTCCTGCTTGACCTTCTGTTGCCCCCCCTCCCCTCTGTTTTCAGCTCATTCCAGTTTGATTTGATTGACGCGCACACACCTTATTTTCTGCTCTAACTCATGATCTATTCTTTTATCTTTTGAAGGTCATCTGGTGCTTCCAATCTCTCTGCTTTGCCAAAGATCTCGCCTTCATCTCTCACAAACAATCATAACAGCAGCTTCAACAGCAGGAAGTAAGGCATAGTTGCGGGTTGAATAGCTGGGAGGGGGAGGGTGGGTGATGCTGATTGTTACCCTAAGCGAGGGTTTCTATGGCTGAGATTCCTGAAGCCATCATACAGCAGGGATCAAACGCTGATAAAATGACTCGCTGGGTGAACTGATGGTCTGCTGATGACCCTCCTGGTTCATGTTTTTATTTTTAAGCCCTAAAGCATCACATAAGATTCTGCTTTATCCTCCTTAACCCTTTGCTCTGTGGAGGATCTGATGTCATAAAAAACATCAGTTTGTTGGTAGAACAGCTACAGGTTTTGGTTTAATAAACAAACACTATAAAGTGAGATGAATTTGCTTTTTTTTAAATCGTGCAATTGGTCTGCATTGGAAAAAAATGCAACTAGGGCTGCAGCTAACGATTATTTTTCAAATCGACTAACCTGTCGATTATGTTTTCGATTGATAGATAGCCAAAGCTTCCTTAAAGAAGATTTTTTTTTACAAAATTAAACCAGGTCAAACTTTTCCACTATCTGGATAGTGCATATTGAAAAACTATTTTTTTTTAAATATCTTTTTTTGAAGATCTTTGTGTAATTAATGTTCTAAGTGTGTCACTCTGTCAGCTAAAGTGATGTTTTACAGACTCTATACTCCAGTTAATAATACCCGTATTTTCCAGACTATAAGCTGCTACTTTTTTCCACGCTTTGAACCATGCGGCTTATAGGAAGCTTATCTATTGATGTTTTCCTAACTGCCAGAGGGAGAAGTCAAGGTTAGAAGTGAAAGAAAAAGGGGCTAATTTTCCTTTAGCACAAGAACATGCTAGCAGCAGGCATGACGGTGAACAGATATCCCGAATTCTGCTTTAATGCAGTAAATAAATTGCTGCATTAAAGAGACTGGGCTCAACTACTGCAGAGCTGAAATAAAAAGCTGATGAAGCCCCAGCTTTAGTGAAGCTCTTACTACTGTGAGCTAATAAGTTAATGGGAGCTAGGATTCTTCTTCGCCCCTACTCCAGGGGCTATATGTAGAGCTCCACCTACAGGTTTGGTGGGAGACAGTTCAGTAGTTATTAGCGGCTTATATGTAAGTTTCCAGTTTTGTCCAAAAAAGTTAGTGGGTGCGCTACGGTAATCGACTACTAAAGTAGTTGACTATTATTTCAAAAATCGATTAATCAGATTAATTATTTTAGCCCTAGATGCAACATCTAGATATAAATATCTGTATCAATGTTTGGCTGAATGTCTCTTAGTTTTTCATCTGTCAAAATTCCTTTTTGCAGATTTCTTAGTTGTTTTTATAACAAGGGGAAAAAAATTGAGTCTTTTTAACTTGAGAAAACTCCACTAGCTGTCAGGCATGGTGGTGGCAGCATCATGCTATGGGGCTGTTTTCTTGTGTGATGATACTGGAGTTAAGGATTATTATGATTCTTAACGCTGGACGTTTCATCATGTTTTTGGATCACAAACACCTCGGTTCTGGTTTGGAGTCTCAACTTTAGCTCTTTAAAAGTTTCAACTACACCAGGAAGAGGAGGGTCACATTTCATACCAGAAAATGTAACACATGTTTGATGATGGATACAGAAGGCATGAGGCTCTTTGTGCTAATGAGAGAAAATACACTTTCTAAATCTGAGGAAACTAACTTGAGGTGTTTTTTTTTTCCATCTCTCCCTGAAAATAATGAACTGGAGGGAATCATTAAAAACTGGGAAATAAGAAGATGTTCTGGCTGCATCACATCTTGGATATCAAGAAGGAAAATAAATGTGGTTACATTAAAAACGTCGCTGTTGTGGAAACCAGTCATACTCTGGGAACATTTTTCAAACAAGATGACTGCCTGCTCTTGTTTCATTTTAAGAAATAAAGAAAAAGATGCTACGTGTTTACCTGCATTGAAGACTAACCAAAGGAAGAACTCGGAGGAAGAATTGATTGCTTGTTGGAGAGCAAGGCTGCTCTCCAGGCGAAGCTTTATGACCTTTTGATCCGACTAATGTGGGATCTACTGCGCATTTCATGGGTGTTCGAGTGGAGAAACCATAGAGAGAAGGTTTTATTTATCTGCAGTGTTTTTCCTGCTCTCTGCTCAGGTTGGGGCTATAAATCATCAGGTTGCAGCTCTGCATTGTTTGTATATGAAGAGGGTCGGTTGTTAAACGGGATGACTTGGAGAAATCTGATCTTCACTCTCAGCAGCTCTCCTATCCCTGATTGACTCCAGTCAGCGCTGTGGTTTCCTCTTAATTATGCATGCGGCCTCTATTTTTCATAAGAAGCACGCCCGAGTTGCATGCCCCTCCATCTTTCTGACTTTGCGGCGGCGGTGCGGTCGGCTCGGCCCCAGCAGCAGGTTTCTCTCAGTTTCTTTCCCGCTCCTCGCGATGCGCACCTTCTGCAGTCCTGGTGACCTTCAGGGTGCGTTTCTTCGCTCTTCTCTTGCATACTGATTGGGCAGTGAGGCAGCTTTGTTTCCTGGGTGTTACAGGCACAGAAGAGGTGAGGGATTTATACAAAAGAGTCGGATAAAAATGGAATTTAAGGGAAAAGTGTAAATTTGATGATGCGTTTTGGAGAGGAAAATAGGAGAATGAGAGTACAGGCTCATCTAATTTCTTCTCAGTCAGCCCCTCTCCCCCTTCACTCTGCCTCTCCCTCTCTTTCTCTCACCGTCCACCCCGGTGCTTTAGTAGCAGTCCTGAGCATCCTTGCTGCTGCTATAAATATCCACGGGGACCAGTAGAGCAGCAGAAGGGAGGAGCAGTGGACAGGACGGGACAGAGCGAAGTGATCTGAGGGGTAGAGGACAACAGGATGAGGGAACGAGAGCAAAGAAAAGGAGACGCCATGGGTTAGAAGGAATAATAGTGTCCTGCTGCTTGAGTTGGACTGAGCTTAAGCAACGTTTGGACTAGACAGCAGCAGGACTTTACCCTTTATTTTTTTATTTTTTGGACTCCAACCGATTGATTTTGTGCTGACATGTGGGCCGGCACGGGCTGGGGGGGGCTGAGATGTCATGCTCCTGTGTTGCTGGTGGTGCCTGAGGCCTGAGGCGGTGGATCTGGACAGCAGGAGGGTGGACCACCACGTTCTGACCTGCGAAGCCCCCGCATCCAGCACCAGAAAAACTGCATCGTTTTCTCAGTGGGGGGCAGAGACGACCGTCGTTTCACTTCCTGCTTCCCAGAGGTCTGCTGCGCTTTAAAGGGTCCACCTCTGAAGCTCATTGCTACATTTCAAACCATGTCTCTTCTTTAGATTATAAAAGGAGAAAAGCTTTGCTAAAACCCTAAAAGTCACAGATTAAAATCTTATTAATCAGGAAACAAAAAGTTTAAGGTGATGAGCTTTTTGTATTTGGTCCTTTTTTAAAAACTTTTACAGCTGAATACAGCTGCAGGAATTTGCAGATTCATCTCTTCCATCTTTGCTTTGCCTCAAGCTTTTCTCCCTTTTAAAACTACAAACTCTCTCCTTCAGCGTTGGTTGTAGATTTGGGATGAATATATATTGATTAAACCGTTTCCTACTTGTTTTCAGCAGCTTATCCCACAGAATGATGCTGCCACTGCCTTCTTTGTTGGAGTCACATGAAAAGTCTGGTTTAACCATGAAAATATAGAAGGGGTTTGGTTTTTTTAGAAAGGCATTCGCATAACTGTTGAGGATGTTCTTTTTTCATGTTTGGTGTGACTCTATTCGCTGTTTACTCTGCAGTGTTAAGAACTCCAGCTACAGTCTGCCCTCCTCCTACCAACCGTACAGCAACAGCTACGACTACTCGGAGCAGAGCAGGCAGAGCGAGCGTTCGGGCCTCTGTGGACTCTCCAACCTGGGAAACACCTGTTTTATGAACTCTGCAGTGCAGGTAATAAAGCCAGAGTCCGGATGTTTCTGATTGCTGGGTTTATTTGGATCGGTGCGTATCTGAACGGCGTCCTTCTCTGCAGTGTTTAAGCAATATCCCCCCTCTGACGGAGTACTTCCTCAAAGACAAGTACAGAGACGAGCTGAACGAGGACAACCCCCTGGGCATGAAAGGGGAGATCGCCAGAGCCTACGCTGAGCTCATCAAGCAGCTTTGGTCGGGGAAATACAGCTACGTAACGCCGAGACCCTTTAAGGTAAATCCATCATCTGAACGGGCCCTCAGAGAGAAAAACGGCCTCTGATCTTTAGGAGTTAAATAGTTTTTGGGTTATTTTTTGTTTTTATCTCCTACTTGTTTAAGTGCGCTCGTTCTGTTTCCGTTCCAGACCCAGGTGGGCCGGTTCGCCCCACAGTTCTCCGGCTACCAGCAGCAGGACTCCCACGAGCTCCTGGCCTTCCTCCTGGACGGCCTTCACGAGGACCTGAACCGCATCAGGAAGAAACCCTACATCCAGCTGAAGGACGCCAACGGTCGGCCAGATAAGGTTGGTTCCCCCGGTTCTGTTTGAGCCCAAACCTTCAATCATCTGCAAGCTAAAGGGTTTGTTGTACTTTTCCAGGTGGTGGCGGAGGAAGCGTGGGAAAACCACATTAAGAGGAACGACTCCATCATCGTGGACATCTTCCACGGCCTCTTCAAATCCACTCTGGTTTGTCCTGTGTGTGCCAAGGTCTCTGTGACCTTTGACCCTTTCTGCTACCTGACCCTCCCCCTGCCCATGAAGAAGGAGCGGACACTAGAGGTGTACCTCGTTAGACTGGACCCAGTCGCTAAACCAACACAGGTAAACAGAACGCTGCAGCTGAAAGCAGAACCATGACCATAACCCTAACCGTCTAGTGATCTGATCTGATCCGATCCCACGTCTGCTTTTCAGTACAAGCTGACCGTCCCAAAGGTGGGATACATCTCTGACCTTTGTACCTCCCTCTCTAGCCTATCTGGAGTGCCTGCTGACAAGGTAGGAATTTTCACTGAATTTAGGCCTTTTAAAAAAGAAAAAACAAGAAGTAAATAATAAACCTGTGATAATATAACTGTTCTGAATGTACAACGATTCATTGATCCTTTCTCTACAGAGTTCTTTATGGGGTTTTATTTAAATGTAGATGCTTAGGTTTTAACTTTTGAGCAGGTAGGAATGAAAAAGACAATTAGTTTTTACATTTTTGGTCAAAAAAAAAAAAAAAGGCATTTTGGCCCCTAAAGTAAAAAGGTTTGGACGCTGCTGCTCTAGCATGAACCTGACACCAAAGCTGATTCTTCCCTCTTAAACTCTGGGAGTGATACCTTAAATAATGACAGAAAAACATGAGAAGTAAGCAGTTTCCTGAAGTCTAAACTCCTTAGAAATGTGTCCTAAAGAGGCCAGTAGGACCATTAAACATCTTTCTATCAAACCTATTTGTTTTCAGTCGTGTTTTATTGTTGCTCTTCTCTCCCCTTTAGATGATTGTTACTGACATCTACAACCACCGTTTCCACCGGATCTTTGCCACTAATGAAAACCTCAGCAGCATCATGGAGCGAGATGATATTTACGTGTGAGTATAGCGCTCTTAACTTCCACCCTAACGTGGCTTTTATCCACGGTGAAGTAGGGCTGGGCGATATGAAGAGAATCTAACGCAAAATATTGAGCTATAATCACGATACATACTGTATATATTCTGTATATCGTGTATCCTTCAAAAACATAACGTTGCACTGATGTACTCATTCAAACTTCTGGTTTCAAATTTAAAACATTTTAATTTTAACCAGCATTATGTCTTTGGGTGTCAGTAGTAGATTTTTAACAAGAATACTGAATTAAATGCAAAATAACCGAGGGCTCTTTTGGACATAATAAAAAAGGCAGAATGAAAAAAGAAATTGACCTCAAATTACAAAAACAAAAGAGCATCTCCAGACTATTTGCATTGACCTCTATGTGCTGGGAATATTCAGAAAGTTGCCAAGTTTCGAAAATGGCTGCGAAAACCTCTGAACGAGACCGCGTCACATCACGGGTAGAATAGCATCTAAAAAACATTTAAATAACGCAAATAAATCTTTGGTTTCCTCATATGGGATTGCAAGGCCAACATCATCTGCTTCACAGCTTATTTATTTAATGCTTTAATTTGTGACGCTGACATGCAGAGTTTACGACATTCTTCATTTTGCATGGATGGCTTTTTAGGTGATGTAATACATGTTTATTCCTACCTTTTGCAGCAATGGTTTTTGAGGCACATCTTACAAATTAGCGCCTTTTGTTCGATATCCTCTGCGCGAAATCCAAACCACTGCCATAAATTGCTGAGCTGGAACACCTGCTGTCGCCATATTGGCGCACAGAATATAATCCTGTTTGGAGGAGGGGTTTATGAGGCATTCAAAGTGTGTGGGGATAAATAAAACTCTCAGTGCAATAGATGCAGACGGCTTAGTGTTGTCATGCTAATTTGTACTCGATGGTTGCGATAATCATTTGAACTATCATGCATGGGAAAACTCAAGATACATCGATTATATTCTATATATATCGCCCTCCCCTACAATGAAGTCGATTTTTGTTCCTGACTTTTCGGATTCCTCTTTGTGTGATTTGAAGTCTCTCTCTCCCTCCTGTAGCTTTGAGGTGGCGGTGAACAGAGTGGAAGATGCGGATCACGTAGTAATCCCTGTTCACTTGAGGGAAAAGTTCAAACAGTCGGGCTACAACCACACCAGTACGCCGCTGTTTGGTCTGCCCTTCCTCATCGCCGTCCCAAGAACTCTGAGCGAGGACAAACTCTACAACATGCTCCTCTCTCGACTCTGGTGGGCTTCTGTTTGTTTCCGGTCTTAGCTTAGGTTGGTTAAACCCTGAAGCCACTGGAAATCTGAAGATTAATTTGGGATCTGATGCCTTTTCCGCCCAAAGCCGGTTTGTCCGATCTCCTGTGGAAGAGGATGAGGAGGACAGCGAAGAGACGCAGCCGTCCACGCAACACGCTATTAATGGAAACGCCACCAACGGGTTGCTAGAGGAGGGCTCGCCTAGTGAGTTTCAGGAAGTAGTCTTTTTATTTTCCGCCCCAAGACGCAGCCAGTTGATCCAGTTTGCTGTTTCCCAGGTGAGATGGAGACGGACGAGCAGGACGACGAGTCCAGTCAGGACCAGGAGCTGCCGTCGGAGAACGAGAACAGCCAGTCGGAGGATTCGGTGGGAGGCGACAACGAGCTGGAGAACGGTGTGACGGCACCGCAGATCTCCACCAAGGTTCAGCAAACGGCCGGCCTCAACAGGAGGAGGCTCTTTACATTCCAGTTCGACAACATGGGCAAATCGGACTTCTCACTCATCAAGGAGGACACCAAGCTGATCCGCTTTGACGAGGGACATCTCAGACTAAGTGGTAGGATGGAGTTCTGACGACTGACCGATCAGTTTGATGAGATATAGTTTTCCCAGCTTGTCTGTCTTTTTGCAGACCGCTCGTATCTGTCTTTGGACTGGGAACCAGAGATCAAGAAGAAGTATTTTGATGAGAGCGTCGTTGAGGTAAGAGGACGCGTCTACAGAAACGTTTACCTGGTCATCAGAAGATGATGATTGATTCTGGTTGCTCTGATTAAAGGCACACTATGCAACATTTTTCAGTTAATTAATGTGTTCCATAACGTTTTGGATGATTAAATGAGTCATTTCAGGTTGAACAAAGGTATTCTCGGCCGCCCTGGTGGTCTGTGGGGGAAATACTGCACTTGCAATTGCAGGAGCACCGACCCGCACCCACAGGCTCAGAAGTCTCGTGAGAGTCGGTCTTGCTTTACGGCCGAGAACTGCTACACCCCCCAGTTAAAAGCATGCTCGTTGCTAGCACAGTGGCGATCTTTGTGCAGTTATGCTACGTTCACATCGGACGCAGCAAAATCGTGTCTGCTGCTTCATTTTTGCTGCTTGAACCAGTTAGTTCTGACGCGCGGCTGAAGCAGCTTTGCTGCTCTGGCTGTGCGGTGCAAAAGTGTGTCTGACGCGCGTTGGGCGGAGCTTAATGCTCCTTCACCTCCCAGCTCCTCCTCCAGGATTCATCTGAATTATTGTTTACCTAAACTTTGTGCTGCGATGCTCTTAAGGAGGCCAAGTCATGCAACTATGCCTAGAAAAAAACTATGTATTATCCTCCTAAAACACAGATTACACTCCAGGCATTCACCCTGATAGTTTTTACTGTGTCCTTTTTAACTGAAGAGATCAGCAGACAAAAACGAGGTTTAACGCTGTCGCCACCTGCTGGCAATACTGAGGCACTCATCTATTGGCTTTAGTTCCTGCTACTTCCAATATTTTTGTTCTTTAAAAAACACACAAACAAAAAAAAAAAAACACTTTCTTTCCTTTCACACTTCCAATGAGGAAATGCTGCCTAGTTTGGCTTCATTACTTATTTACTCATTGCACACATTCCCAGTATTTTACATCTGGAAAATGAAAAAAGAGCCAAACTTTACTAAGAAATGGAACAAAAACTAGCTTTATACTGTCTAATAATCCAACAGGGCAAGAAAAGTTCAGGGGAAAGTATTTGTGTGCTACTGAAGTGAGCTACTTCTGCAGAAGTGAGTGAAGTCGTAGTATATGCACTGCAAAAAAAAAAGAAAAAAGAAAATTTAAATAAGTCATTTTTTTTTAAATAAGGAGAATTTTTCTTGATTTAAGGAAGTAAGTAAGACACGTTGCTAATAGAACAAGATTATTTACATTTAAAATAGGAACAAACTATTGCATTATTATCTAATTTTATTTTAAGAGTAGAAATACTCATTCCATTAGCAAATCATCTTATTCACATACTAAAATTATGGGTAAATACACCTAATTTAAGGCCATTTTTACTTATTTCTAGAAGGTTTTTGCAGTGTGTCTAGGCTGTTTTTTTACTAGCATGTGCTGACTTGTCTCACAGCTTCCTCCTCTGTCAGCTCCCGACAGTGCAGATAAATTAGGTTTAAAGCCCAGTGCACAGCGCGTCAGACCAGTGGTCTGTGGCGAATGTGCAAGCTGCTGGTTTTTACCTTCCTCTAGGTCTCATAGAAAGCTCTGACTGACAGGTTTTTAATGAAAGGAGATTGTAGCTGTAGTTTACATAATGAATATTTCTCCTGCTCTAAGCATTCCTGACCCTCTTGTCGGCCTTCATAAAGCACCGTTCTGTTCTGTTTGGCTTTTATGAGCAGGACTATGACAAGCATGAGAGCATGGAGTACAAACCTCAGAAAAAAGCTTTCTTCAAGCTGAAGGACTGCATCGAGCTGTTCACCACCAAGGAGAAACTGGGAGCCGAGGATCCCTGGTGAGAAACTCAAACGCCTTTAGTTTTAGGATGTAGCTTTTGCACGCCATCTAAAGCTGTTATTCCATGTCGGATCAGGTACTGCCCAAACTGCAAGCAGCATCAGCAGGCCACCAAGAAGCTGGACCTCTGGTCCTTGCCGCCGGTTCTCGTGGTCCACCTTAAACGTTTCTCTTACAGCCGCTACATGAGGGACAAGCTGGACTCGCTGGTTGACTTCCCACTCAGGTACACTTCCCACAGGCAGACACCTCCAGATGTTTTCTCTGCTCAGCCACCAGTTAAAGCTAATGGTTTTGGTGGGTTTACTTCTCAGGGATCTGGATATGTCGGAGTTCCTGATCAACCCCAACGCCGGGCCCTGTCGCTATGACCTCATCGCTGTGTCCAACCACTATGGCGGGATGGGAGGCGGACATTGTAAGACTTTCAGCAGCTTCTCTACCAGTTTGGTTTCAGATACATTCATGTGCTGATCTGTTTCAATTATTTCTATTATCTAAATAACAGCCAGAGCTTTCTTTCTAAAAGAAAGGCACGGTAGTGGCGGTATTGTTTTTTTTTTTTTTTTTTTATAGGAGATCCCTCTAAGAAGGTTTTGATTTAAAAAAAAAAAGAAAAAAAAACTGTTGACATTTTCCCAGAGATTTGAATTCAGAATTTGAAATATAAAGAAAAATAAAAGAGACTCTGAAGAAGAAAAAGAGTAAATCATAGGACCCCTAATTTGGAAAAGAGTAGAGAAAAGTTTTAGATTTTAACCTGATATCTGAAGGCTAAACATTTCTAAGGTGAATTAATCACCTTTATCATCAGTTTTATTAGAACTCATGTCTTTGTCTAATTTATTAATTCTGATGTATATAATACAGATTTATTCAGAAATTAAGACATTTCACAGCATCTTTGTATTAGACCTTTAAGTTTAGCTCTGCATTTCTTGATTTTTAATAATTCAAATGTATTGTTAGACAGTGTGTTTTGTTCTCCAGTGTTTAATTGTAAACTTTCTCATAAAAAATCTAGATGTTTGTAGGAAAATCTGAAGTTTCAGACACTAAACAACTATAAAAGCTCCAGTTAGAAAGGTCGTTTCTTATCATGGAGGAAACCAGACTGTATGTTTTGATTTTCTTCTCAGACACCGCCTATGCTAAGAGCAAAGATGACGGGAAGTGGTACTACTTTGACGACAGCAGTGTGTCTCCAGCCAGTGAGGACCAAATAGTGGTGAGTGTCCTTTTCTGTCTGCGGTGCTTTGAAAAAAAAAATCCCTTGCTTTTATTTTATTTTACAAAAAAGGAGAATATTATGCTTCTAAAGTACTGCAGAATCAAATGCAACTCTGCTTTTAAAGCCCCTTCTGAGTATATAAATAAATGACATCACTTGAAGCATGGGTCTCTTCCAGTGTTAATTTCGTCAGCTTTTTTAAATTTAGTCTTAGTCTAAATGATGAAAATCAGTTTTAGTAATTTAGTAATTTTAGTCAACACTGTAAATAATAGAACTTCTCCACACAATGCTTTTTTAACATAAATATCAAACGTACAGAATAAAACTTCACCACACACTGCTTTTCTTTTTCTCTATTTTATTTATATAACACTGTGTAGAATAGAACTTCACACACTGATTCTCTTTTTAACAAATATCACACTGTACACATTGAACCTTTTGTCGGCATCATATCCACAAAGTCTTTATCCTCAAACATACTTCCCTTCCTTCCCCAACCTCTGATCTGGCTGTGGTGTCACTGTGTCAGGAATCTAGTTTGGAGGAAGAAATTTAAATGATTAATATCCAGAGTATCAGTAGAACATCTTTCTTCTCTGACAGAAAGACAGACAGATCCTGCTAGTACAGGCTCACCCGTTCATTACCTTCTACCATATGTCAGCTGTTGGCTCTTCAGATGTCGCTTGAGATTCGCTGTGTTCTTCCCATCCTCGTTGAAGCCGCAGACTCTTCCTTACTGCTGTGTTTTCCTTCAAATTGTAAACGAAATGGCTCTAAACATCCAGGCGTTGTTTAACAAACCGCGCACCGGTATCCGCAGTGACTGGGAAGTTGAGCTACGCTGCTACTGACTGAGTGCTGCGGGGTGCTGTGGTACAGGCGCCATGTAGGGACAAACATCGCAACAACGCGTACTCTTCTATGAAGCTCAAGAAACACTTATATTAACAATTACAAATTAATCATAAACAATTACATTTCTTAATGTCCATTCATCCATCCTAAATTTTGTCTGTCTTAGCCTCGTTGACGAAAGTCATTTTTTATTTTTGTCATATTTTTATTTTCTGGAAACAATTTTTGTTCGTTATCGTCTCGTCATTGTCAGGGGAAAAAGGGGCGTTGACGAAATATTTTCGTCATCGTCATGGTTGACGAAATTAACACTGGTCTCTTGACATTAAATAGCAGGATTGGTAGGAAGGATTCAATTAAATTGTTGCAGTAGAGCGAGTTTAAATTTTAGACCCTAAAATGAAAGAGAACTGTAATGGAAGAGGTCAGTTTAGGACATCCTAGTTAAAGTCTATAAACAAAATCAAGTGAGAAAGTTAATTCAAACCTGAAAATGAATGTTTTTAAATGCTCCCTATCCAATCAGATGTTCACCTTACTCTGCAGTTGTCCAATGAAATCACAGAGGATGAATGAAATGAGCAGAACCTTCTCTCCTCTCTCTGTCCAGTCCAAAGCCGGCTATGTGTTGTTCTACCAGCGCCAGGACACGGTCAAAGGCACCGGATACTTTGCCCTGGACCGGGATGAAGAGGAGGATGAAGAGGAGGAGGAGGAAGGTGGGGATGCTGAGGAAAACGAGGCGGAGGAGCTCCTAGAAAGAAGGACCGTCTCGTGTTCTCAGGGTGCCTGCTCCAGCGCACAAAGCGACGACGAGGAGCCGATCGAGAACAAGAGCAGGAAAAATGACATCAACGAGGAGGAGGATGATGAAGAGGAGGAGGAAGAGGAGGAGGAGGAGGAAGAGGTATCCAATCATGACATTACCATGAAAACCAACTGAGGTATACGGATTCAGGAACAAGCAGAGATAAGAAAGGGATCTGTGCATCATGAAGCCATAGGGACACACGGCGCTGCAGCGAGCCACCGGTCCCGCTCAGCCGCACGGACCGAACCGGGCCGCCGCCACCGGGACATCGACTGTTCGGCTGGGGGAGCTGCCTCGGTACGCAACTCTAATAAATCAGGAGCCTCTTGTGGGTGAATCACTGCGTGTGTGTTTGAGAGAGCGTGTCGCCGACATCAACTCCCACAGAGCATAAAGAATGATGACGGCGCCCTCAGCAGGCGCTGCTGCTGCGCCGCCACCTTTTTCTCTATATTTGAAATGTTATTTAAGCAGTGCATTGTTTGCATATCATTTTAGTATTATTTGGATTTTGTAAATATTTTTAAACACTGAACTGCATTGAGTTTTCATGATGCGCTGAAATATTTTTGAACTTGCACAAACACTACTCCGCCTCCTCCTCCTCCTTTAGAACGCCAGACGAACTGCATCTATAATCTAGACATAACGTAGAGAAGCGGATGAAATATCCCAGCTTTCTGCTTTTGCTGCTCAAGCAGCTGATCTCTCGTTCTGATTGGTCGCATTTTAACTCCAACATCTTAGAGGTCAAAGATTGTTAGTCAAACTTATATACTGTGGATTGTTTTGCAGAAAACATGTGCTGGAAAAAGTTCCACACTGCCAATCGCCTCCTCATTGCTCTTCATATCTACGTGAAGCTTTAGTCCTGTCCAGTTTTATTACAGCTTTGACCTGCAGGCAGATTTCTACAAAATATTTCTTTCTGGATCGATCCTGCCCAGAGCAAACATCGATCCCATTCAGAGCTGAAGACTAAACATTTGAAGCTGTCTAGCTTTGCTAAATCAGATTTTTTGCTTCTTAGATTGTAAATCTTTAAAAAAAAAGCGTAGCTAGCTTTTCAAATCAGCTCAGGAGGATGAACCAGAGAAGCTGCTGTTACTTTTCAATAGACAGCTTCCCTCTGATTACATTTTAAACCTCACTGACATTATAAAGCCTAAGTTTACATGATGCTTAAAGGTGATGCGTTCGGTGACTAAGTAAAGATCAAATTTCCTTCCCTTTGGTGCGTAAAGAATCTAAAAATCAGCCTCTGATTTCTTCATTCCTCCCACGTCCTCTTAAAATCACTTCGGCCTTAACTCCACATTAACACACTGCTATATTCACCTCCAAGTTTTTCTTTTTAACCCACAAGAGGGCCAGAATATACACTGAACTGAATGAACAAAGACCACATGTATGTGAATCATGCCTTTAGATTGATTGTTTTTTTCCCTCGATTTTTCCGGCCCTCTCTTTGCTTTTTGGTAACAGGTTCTCCGCCTTTGATGCTGCCTGTTCGAGTTTCTGGGGAAACGCTTCTAGTGTGTGTGTGGGTGGGTGTGTGTGTGGGATTTGAAGCGGGGGAGGTGGGGTGAGTCGACCTGAAGCCTTTCAGCTCGTAGGACCATCATCCAGTGATGCGGCAGAGCTCCTGTCGCCTCCCATTACGAGGCTCCGCCTCTGGTTCCATCGGCCGACTCGCCCCATCCTAACGCCGTGGGACGCGATCGCTTCTTTAGGCTTGTACGATATTGTACAGAAGAGTTCACTCTGTGAGTGCACATTTGATAAAGTTTATTTATTTATATGTAAGCATTTAATAATGAAATGACGATATATTTAAAGCCTCGGCAAGACGCCAGGAGTCGGGTGTTCGGTTACACACTAGTTTGCGAAGTCTTGTCAGGGAGGGAATATTTTTTTAAAAAGATTTTTTTTTCTGTTACTGGATTTTTCTTTTGTAAAAAATGAATTCAGATGTCCTTGCATGAAGACGTATGGAAGTTTCCAGGTTTGGCTGCACTTGAGTTCACTTGGGTTGACATTTGAATTGTGCATGTGTATTTATACACAATTACAATAAAAGTTAAGCTTCCTGTGGCTTTTTCCCCCCTCTGATTAACAGTTTGTGTCTTTTTCTTTCTTTACTAATACAAATATATTCAAATAACACGTGGAATGACACAATTTTTGGCTTTTAATGGTCAGCTTTTCTCTACAACAGAACACTGTAAAGAACACGTAACCTGCTTAAAGCAGGGCTGAATTTAATTAACTTCTGCAGAGGGTTCTGTTTTTGCAGCTCAGAAGAAAACAAACCACATGTTGAGAAGAGAGCACAGATTTCTACATAGTTTGGCAATGAAGACCAATACATCTACAATATGTCTACAGGACCAGGATGGAGTGGCATAGAATCAGAATCAGAATCTGGTTTATTGCCATTGTTAGTGAAGAAGTTCACAACTAGGAATTTTTTTGTGGTACAGTCGTGCAACATGAAACATATATGAAATAGTAAATAAAATTATAAAAATCTCTAAAAACACTAGGGTATAAGGCATAGACGGATCTAACAGCTATATGTCTTGCTGGGGAAGCTGCAAATGTTAGCTAAAGCCGACAAATCTTTGTGTTTATTTGAAACCTGCCTTGGAAATGTTACATTTAAACTGCATTTCCTTACACCTCTGCTCATTTAGATGAAAATTTAGATTTTTCTTTTACAATAAATAAATATGAATTCTGATTAGGGGTAAAGTTAATTTAGCAATTAGATTTTTTTCCAACTTTTTTTTAAACAAAATGGTCTAATGAAAATTTCTATTATCTTCCTTTTAAATCAAATTTTTTTGTTCTTGAAACCTATAGAGCTGTTCTGTCCTTCAGACTGTAAGAGCAACTGCATTAACTAGTGTTGCGCCGATGCCATTTTTTGGCCCCGATACCCGGCCGTGCAGTATTGGCCGATACCGATACCACCATGTAGATATGAATAATTGCATAGTACTTGGATGTAAAATAATTGCCATCGTGGCTTTCTCAAGATGCTGCCTACCTTTGTGAAGCAGACTAATACAAAGTGAATCCAGTAGAAATTTTTATAGCCTATTTGGAATGGTTGACAATAGTGGAATAAACTTTTGGCTCTCAAAATGGCATCGGGGCCCTATTTGTTGGTACTCACCGATACCATTTTAGTGCTGGTATCGGTGAAAACCTATTAATACAATACTTCAACAAAAACAAGCAAAATTATTTCCAAATCAAATTATGTAACACACAGGCTTTAAAAAAATATCAAATAATTCAAAAACATTTTTTTATGTACAAAGAATTTTCCTAAAAACTCATCTCTTCAGAGGTATGATTTGCTGCCCTTATAGATGTGTCCAGCAGGTGGCGCCAGGGGACAGCTTTCAGCGAGGCTCCCAGCAGACCACGCCTCCAATCTGTGACGTTCACCTCTTTTCTGGGACTGACTCGCCTTTTGGGTGCAGGAGCTGCAGACTGTAGACTCCTGATGCAGAGGCAAGGCGAACAAATGGACAAATTGTGGAATATTTACATTCTTGGACATGCATAGGAGACATTTGATCCCATCTTGTCTTTTAACTGTTGCAAAGATGTATTTATTGTGCTGGATTTGGTGAGGGTTTTCCTCGTTGTGCGCTTTTACGCACCGATGCGGACTCTGGTTTGAAGACTGGCGCAGGTTGAGGTAGTAGTTTGTGCTGTTGGCTGGGCTAAAGTGCTGCCCCATATGGAGATGACTGCGCAATCTACTGCCTTGCCGGCGCCGGTGACTCGCAGCAGACATCAGGACGCTGGATTATAATCCCGCTTGGATTCGGGTGCTGAGAGAGACCGTGCGCACTTTGCGGCGCAAAACCGGTATTCTCTATTACATCTACTAGATGTTGTTATAATTCCTTATTTTCTCATTGAAGCTTTTTATTTTTCTAAATAAAAAAACAAACATGTTTAGAAATTTGGAAAAGTGTAATCAGTTTGCTTAATTTGGCACATTAAATAAAAAAAGAGTTTGGAAAAAAGAGAATCAACAAGTTGTCTTTGCATTTTCTACAGAAATCAGAATGAAATTACTTTTATTTATTTTCCATACATGTTTTAACTGTTTATCTACCTTTTTAGCAGGAAAACCTGTGATAATTATTACAAAAATAAATATTGTACAACATAATCAACCATCTAGTCTTTTCTGTTCACGTTGCTGTTTTGTTGGAAAACATGAATTATTCAACAAATAAAGTTTTATCACATGGCATCCAGTTTTATAAAATAAAGCCTTTTTTTCAAACCTTTCTGCTGTTAAGTTTGTTTATTGAACCATGCTTGTGTCTTCAGAGGAATATAAAGTGATTTCCAGTTCAACAGTTTTCATTCAAAAGTTAATTTCTTTTCTGAATTACACTTTAATGTTTACAAACAATTTCCTAATATTTCCTGAATTTTGCACGATTCAGTTAAACACCTCTAAGTTTTAATATTAAAACATTTCTGTAATACATCCTTGGAATATTCATTCTACATAGGTCTTAAGGTTATGGAAGCCCGTTTCCGCCACTCTGTAAAAAAGAAAAAAAAAAACTATCTCAATATAATGAGATAGTATCTCATTATAATGAGATAGTATCTCAATATAATGAGATAGTAACTCCATATAATGAGATAGTATCTCATTATAATGAGATAGTAACTCCATATAATGAGATAGTATCTCATTATAATGAGATAGTAACTCAATATAATGAGATAGTATCTCATTATAATGAGATAGTAACTCAATATAATGAGATAGTAACTCAATATAATGAGATAGTAACTCCATATAATGAGATAGTATCTCATTATAATGATATAGTAACTCAATATAATGAGATAGTATCTCATTATATTGAGATAGTTTTTTTTTTTTTTATACCATTTTTTTAAGTTAAAATTGAGTATTTTTGGTCAATAGCCCCCAGGTCATGTGACCTATTGATGCAAAATCAGTGTGAAATTGTTCTACTAGTTTCTGTAGATGGGGCACACTCATTTGTTTTTCATTTTAACTCTTTTTTTATTTTTTAGCATTTTTTTAAGTTAAAATTGAGTATTTTTGGTCAATAGCTCCCAGATCATGTGACCTATTGACGCAAAATCACTTGGAAATTGTTCTACTAGTCTCTGTAGATGGGGCACACTCATTTGATTTTCATTTTAACTCTTTTTTTTTATTTTTTACCAATTTTTTTTAGTTAAAACTTAGTATTTTTGGTCAATAGCTCCCAGGTCATGTGACCTATTGACCCAAAATCAATGTGAAATTGTTCTACTAGTCTCTGTAGTCTCGGGATGAACCCCAACGTACAGGCGCCGAGATGGGGGGGGCAACAAGTATGCCCACTCCTGCCCAGCGCCTCTCACTGTGGGCAACTCCAGAGTGGAAGTATGTCCAGCCCCTCTCAAGGAGACTGGTTCCAGAACCAAAATAAAAAAAGAGTCAAAATGCAAAACAAATGAGTGTGCCCCATCTACAGAGACTAGTAGAACAATTTCCAAGTGATTTTGTGTCAATAGGTCTCATGATCTGGGAGCTATTGACCAAAAATACTCAATTTTAACTTAAAAAATTGCTAAAAAATAAAAAAAGAGTTAAAATGAAAAAGAAATGAGTGTGCCCCATCTACAGAGACTAGTAGAACAATTTCACACTGAATTTGCATCAATAGGTCACATGACCTGGGAGCTATTGACCAAAAATACTCAATTTTAACCTAAAAAATTGGTAAAAAATAAAAAAACTATCTCAATATAATGAGATAGTATCTCATTATATTGAGTTACTATCTCATTATATTGAGATAGTTTTTTTTGTTTTTTTTTTTACAGAGTGGCGGAAACGGGCTTCCATATAAGGTAAATGGACACCACTCTGCATGCTTTAAATTAGAGTATGGAGGAAACTCTGGGTTACAGAGAAACTTTAGAAACTGACAGATTATATTGCTCTCCTTCATGAATCTGAGAACATAAATTCCTTATTTTAAGTCTTTAAAATTCAGATCCTTACACATTTCTGTAGTATCTGCTGAAACTACCTTTAAACTGAATGCCTTGGGTCAAATATTTTGGCTATTTTTTACCAGTTTGCTACAGATGAACTGTAACGACTCATCGGAAAGATGAGATGAGGTACGTTTGAGCAGCTCATACCGAATAATCAATAATCTGAATCAGAAACTGCTTTTTTTATTCATCACGGATCTTTATTTGTTCTTTTTTTTATATTTCTGGGTAAGAAACACTGAAGGTAAACAGTTTTTTAAATCCTTCTAACATCAACCTTATGCAAAGAGACATTGTTTTTGCTCAATGAGTTTGTTTCCTTTAAAAAAATGACGTCACATTCACATTGAAGATAAGGGTAGCACAATAGTCACCTAAAAAGGACCCCGAACTGGCCTAGAAGTCCCTGTTTGCTACAAAAAAAAATCCCCCCCCTGGTTCACAAGTCTTATAACAATAGAGGGTTATGTAGGAAAAAAACTCAACAATATTATTAATACAGCAAAAATGACAAGAATCAGGTAGATTGAACTGGACTAAAGGCTTTCTGTACAACTAAGGATGAACATTGATAAACTGTCGAACCTGAGCCGATGTGCAAGAGTTGGGTGGCCCAATGGGACGAAGCAAACAAATCATCTATGTCATATTCATCTAAGAACAAATATATATATATATATATATGTGTTAAACTACCTTCTGATTGAGATATATATATATATCTCAATCAGAAGGTAGTTTAACACATATTTCACATAGAAAACATTCCTATTACTGTCATATAAGCAGAGTCGTTATGACAACAAGGCCTAAACCATAACAGATGAAATACAACCACTTCAAAATGACAAAAGATTAGCTGGGATACAAAAATAATCAAGAAATTAAATAGGAAATGTGATTTTTCTTTACCAATGGCAAGTAGTGGGAACACAGCACCACATTGGAGGAAGAGAAAATGAGCTGCTGCTTCCCTGAAAGGATGCCAATAGTTTTAATTTAAAATAAAAGTAAAAAAAAAATGGTTGGAGGTAATAAAAGTTTTAAATGTGGACTTCAAGTGCATTTACAGAGGATAATTTACAAAAGTTGTGGCTTTCTGAAGCAGTAATCAAGAGTTTAGCTTAGCCTTTTCTTATTTTAGACATAAACTGACCTGAATGAGCTAAAATAAGCTAAGCTACATAAGGCTAAGCAGCTGCTTGTTGAACTTCCTGTAAAGTTGTAGGGTTTTCAGTTTATTGTTGAGAGAAAATTATGCTTTTTAATAGAAATTTCTCTATGTCTGCTTCTGTCTCCTTGAACCTCAGTCGGTCTCGGCAGATGGTCGCTCACACTGAGCCTTGTTCTGCTGGAGGTTTCTTCCTGTTAAAAGGGAGTTTTTCCTCTCCACTGTCGCTACAAGCATACTTAGCTTGAGGGCTTGCCTCCGAATCAATTAGCTGATGTAATTAACCGGTTTTCCTTAGATAGAAAACTTTGAATAAATGTGACTGTATGATTTGCTTTGAGATGAAATGTTGTGAATTGGCGCTATATAAATAATCTAATATTTTAGTGAATTTAAAACGTGCAAACTATTAGTTTGAGTATTCTTTATCAGCTTAAGAGTTAAAAATATCTAAATAAGCTAAAATAAGTTAAAGCCGTTTCATTTCGATGTAATCAAAATGCACTTTACATGATTTTAACCTTTTAACAGGTAAAAGCAGAATATAAAGATGTATTTGCTTTATCTTAAGAGGCAACAGACCTGTTACGCTAACAAATTGATATTGATGAGTGGAAGACGATAAAGGGAGGAATTAATTCAGTGAATTTTGACCAGTTTTTAACTATTACTGCTATTACTTCCTTGGTTATTTTCAAAGCTGACTTCTATTTTAGTCGGTGAAGTCTTTACCTGTTAGGTCAATACTTGAAATAACTCTTTGTCTCCTTTGTGTTTTAAAAAAACTTTGAAGCAGTATTTTTTAATTCTTATAAATTAAAACTATATCAACTTAGGGATAAGTTATTAGACAAACGTTGCTTCTGGCAATTTCTGCTTCTGAGGCTATTACCTAAAGAAAATAACAAACAACTGGTTGGTTTTTATTTCTTTTCTGCATGTTTGGTCTAAATTGTTTGCAGAAAAAATGGTGACAACTTCTTTTTTATTATAAAAAGCAGATTTGTATCAGCCTGTTAATAGTTTTGCTTCATATAGTTGATTTATTTCTTTACTTAAATCTATTACATTACGAAGCGTTCATATAAGAGCTCTGTTGGATTTTTAAAATGCGATTTTAAAAAGCACAATATCTCCTCAACAGGAGCAACCATGTGTTTATTAACATGGTTTCATCCAATATTGATCATTTCTACTTCCATGATTTTGTGTTAAAGATCTAGCAGAATCCCTACATTACTCGCGCCTCTATTTCTTTGCGTTCGTTGGGGTGTGTGTAATTAATTTCGTTAGTTACGACTCTGTACGTCCGTTTTGAGTAGTTCTAACAAGCTGACCTCTAAGCATGCAGAAGTTCTCCATGTTCGCCCTTTTTATGTCATCCTTGAGCTTTTGCTAGAAATCTCTAGATGCTTTCAGAGCTAAAAAAAACAAAGTCTCAAAAACATTATCTTTGGACATTCAAAAACAATATCAACACATTTCACTTGATACATTACATACATAGAAAGCAGGCCGTTAAAAAAGGAACAGCAAATGAAACAATTGCACCATTTCTCAGCCCAGGCCTAGAATAAATTACTGCATATCCTAAACTACATCCTTACATAGAGTTACTTCCAGCTGAGGCAGCGTCAATTTAAAGCATCAGCAAACATTGAATAAAGCTGAAAAGAAAACAAAAAAACATGATTTTATTTGATTTTTTTTGCTAATTATGATTGTATTTCAGTTCAGTCTTACACACTGCAAAAACGATATAGAAATAAGTACAATTTTCTCAAAGTAAGTGTATTTATCCTTAATTTGAGTAGGTAAATAAGATTATTTGCTAATGGAATTAGATTTTTTACTCTAAAGATAAGATAATTGGATAATATGCACTTGAAATAGGACAATCAGGTTGTTTTTTCTTATTTTAAATGTAAATTGTCTTGTTCCATTGGCAAAGTGTCTCACCTCCCTCCTCAATCAAATAACAATACACTTATTTCTAGAAAAAATACCTTTTTAGATATCAATTCTTTGCAGTGAATTGTCCCTGCTGCAGGGAATACTTCCCTCCTTACTCTTTATATCTCATCTCTTGCTGTGCAACTACACAGAGATACTTGACCTGATTTATACAGCACTTCCAGTGTGAATTTAATGCTTCGACTTTTTTTTTTTTTGGCTTAGATTGGCACCAGAAAGAAATACAAAGAGTATTTTGCAGTATAGCTTTAAACGTGTTCAAGTCTACACCTTTTTCTCCCCTTTAAAAAATGTTCAGTATAACTGTAGAAATATTAATTAGGATCCAGTCAAAGCTTTCGTTTGAATATTTTTCCTGTAAATGTTCAATGATTCACATTGTTTTCTAGCTTATTCCTTAACTAATTAACTCAGATCAACGTTAAAGCTTATTCAAATAAAAAACCCGAAGTTCTTTTATAAATCAGGTATTGGACAAAACTTAACAAATTTTTCTCCCAGGAAGCATTGAGAGCCAACAATCTAAACCACCTTAAAAGATAACAAGAGAGTCGGATTCTTTGGAGGAGAAAATATAAAGAAACTAGGAATGACAATCCTTTAATCAGGCATCCCCAAAGTCGGTCCTCGAGGGCTGCTGTCCTGCAGGTTTATGAGGTTTCCTTGCTCCAGTGCAGCTTATTTTAATTACAAGCTGATTAACAGACCGTTGCTCAACAGCAATCATCATAATCAGCTGTGCTAAAGCAGGGAAACCTCTAAAACCTGCTAGACAGCGGTCCTCGAGGATCGACTTTGGGGATGCCTGCTTTAGATGCAGCGTAAAAAAACATAGACACATTTTAAATCCAGCGTCTTGCAAAAGTATTCTTGAAATGGTTTCGGTTGACTTTATTTAAAGGTATTGTGGAGGATTTTTTTTAAATGAACGGGCCTCTCCACTTAAAAAAAAAAATGCACATGCACAACCCTGTAACCCCTCCCGAGAGAGAACGTCTATTAAACGAGTGCGAGAGCGTGCACAAGCCGTTTCCTCCTCATTTTACTGGCACTGATGTGAAATGGGTTTCTCCACATGGCGCACCAAACTTTACCTGTCGAGTAGAAAATTTGCAAACGAGGCATCAGTGGAAAGCTCGACCTGTGCTCTCAGTGTACGCCATTGTGTGAAAGAATGTCCCAAAAACAGTCAGGAATATTTTCTCGGCCTTTCTCTTCTTCTCATACACTCCATAGACACTTTTTCTCTTAGGATCCTTGGCCATTTTCAAAGAACTGCAGTGAGAGAGTTTAGCTTCAATGACTGGCTGAAACCGTAGCTCACCACAGATAAACACAAAGTAGAAAGCGCGCAGGAAAAGATAATTAACAGGACGAGCATGTAGGACGACCTTACGTAAACATATTACTAGAATGATTGACAATTAGGAGGACCACTTATTTTGATGATCCACCCAGAAAAACAACATCCTTTATTATAACTTTACTAGTGAGACATGGTGGTGGCAGCAGTCGGATCATGCTGTGGGAATGTTTTTCTACACAGGAGACAAGAACATAAAAATGTTGATTGGAAGCTTAAGGATCAACCTTCCAGCAAGTTAGGATGGACTAGATCAGAACAGCTTAACCCGAGGTTCTAATTTAGTTTATGATGGATGTCTAGGTATTTATTTAATAGTTATGAGCGAACAAAGCAGGAAGAGACTAAATTCATCCTGTAATTGCAGTAATAGTTTTTCAAGGTGGATCTTCAAAATAAGTGGTCCTCCTAAATGTCAATCATCCTGGTGATATGTTTACATAAGGCCGTCCTACGTGCTCGTCCCAATTTTCACCCTCCGGTGGTGAGTCTGACATGGTGGAAAAATTGCAAATCTTCTTTTTGAAACTCAGCTTTTATTTGTGATGCAAACAGCAATTTTTAAACAGCGTGCACGAGGAGAAATGGGCTCACGCATGCTCTCACACTCCTTTAATAGAAGTTCCCTCTCGGGAGCGGGTACAGGGTTGTGCATGTGCATTTCTTTTCAAAGTTCGGAGGATGGGTCTTTTAAAAAATTTGCAAAAAAACCTCCATTCTACCTTTAAGTGTGCACTACTTCGAGGGAGTCTAAGGAAGAACAATCCCATAATGCTGAGAGGTGTGTCTTTGCTGCAAAAGAAATAGGAAAAACCTAAAACGCTTGGAATACTTATGCAAGGTGCTGTAGTTTGAGCTCCTGCAAACTAATTAAAAAAGTGCATTGTAAAAAAAGAAAAGTGAACTTGTGTCAGTTAGTGTGCAACATTGTGAAAAGGACAACCTTAATATTAAATCAGGAATGAAGCCAGATTTGTACTGTAACCAAAGCATACGTCGCCACGTCGTCCTTCCAGTTTTGCAGCTGAGCCTTCAAAGCCACACTGTGGCGAAGCTGAGGAAGGAAAGCAGCTGACCTGTCAGCCGCGTCCGAGTTCACGCCAACCACACAGGATGGAAAAAAAAGGAATAGAGAGAAAAGGATGACAGGAAGGAAAAATGTTTCTCCTTATTTCAGAAGTCTGTGTAGCTGAGAGGATTGTTGCTTTATAAACCTTTAACAGGCCTTTTCTTCTTTTTTCATAGTGTAAATGATCCCAACTGATGATTTATAGCACTGCTCACCATCTTGAACCCGATTAGAGAAATGAAGTACCAGCAGAGTCTGTTTCTTTTTCCTTCACATTTGTTTTAAAAAAGGGATAAATAAAAAAAAAAAAGGGAAATGAAAAGGAGTTTTCTGTGTTTCGGACGTAGAAAGGTTGTCATGGCTGCCTGTTGCCGTACATTAAGGGAATGATGAAGACTGAGATGTCGTCACCGGAGCCCAGACGCTCGTTGGTGATCCTCCATCCTCTGTCTCTCAGCACGCCTCGCGCTCGCATCACCAGGTCCTGAGCGGCCATTGTATACCTGCATCATGCAATAATGCGTATTTGGATTTAGCTTCAGACATGGATAGGAGGAGCTAAGGTACGAACTGTATGAATGAGGAGAAATCACCCACCTGTGCAAGTCATCAGGGTCACAGTTGGACAGGAAGGTGCTGACAGCTTCGGCGACCTCCTCATTGGTCAGGACATCCCAGAGGCCATCGGTTCCCATCACCAGGACGTCGTCTGTCCCATGCTCATACTGCATCAGATTATACACCTTCACCTGCAGAACAACAACATTCATACATAGAGCTCTCCATTATTGCAGCACGCTGCAATGTGTAAGAGACCTGCAAGGTTTTTTGTAAGAGACCTGTTTTGTTACCCTCATTTTGCTAAGGGTAAAAAAACAGGCTTTCTGCAATTTTTAGTTTTTGCAGCATTTTAAAAATTTGTAAATAAATGGCAGACGTTTGGCTGATAGGAAGGAAGGAAGGAAGGAAGGAAGGAAGGAAGGAAGGAAGGAAGGAAGGAAGGAGGACTGAATGAATGAATGAAGGAAGGAAGGACTGAAGGAGGGAAGGAAGGAAGGAGGCAAGTAAGGAAGGACTGAATGAGGGAAGGAAGGGAGGAAGGAAGGACTGAATGAGGGAAGGAAGGAAGGATGGAAGGAAGGAAGGACTGAATGAGGGAAGTAAGGACTGAAGGAATGAAGGAAGGACTGAATGAGGGAAGGAAGGGAGGAAGGAAGGATTGAATGAGGGAAGGAAGGAAGGAAGGAAGGAAGGACTGAATGAGGGAAGGAAGGGAGAAAGGAAGGACTGACTGAGTGACAGAAGGACTGAAGGAAGGAAGGACTGAAGGAAGGAAGGAAGGAAGGAAGGAAGGAAGGAAGGAAGGAAGGAAGGAAGGAAGGAAGGAAGGAAGGAAGGAAGGAAGGCATCAAAGAAGGAAAGACAAAGAGGAAAGAAGGAAGGACTCCGGAAAGGATGGAATACAAATGGGTGAGGTATAAAAGGGATGAGAGGTAAAAAAGAAATCAAAGTAATTCAAAGCTTTTATCTGGCGAGCATCCCAACACCGCCGAAGAGCAGAGGACTGAGACGCAGGTGTAGGGAGAAGATTTAACTTGAACCCACCGTGAACCCTGGTGATAATGAATTAAAGATCAAACCAGGAAACTCGGGGGGTGGGGGGGGAGACGCTATAAGACGAACTAAGTTGGGAGATGAAAGCGTTTTCATTCCGGTACCAGTCAGTTCAGACGGGTGAATTCTAGTTCTCCAGCAGTGGAGGAGCAGCATGGGGAGGATGGTGCATTCAGAGGGAGGAGATGATCCATCTTATACACTGAGGGATAAATTAATGACCACAAAATGCCTCTTTTTCATACTTTCCAATTTAAAAAAGAATATTATAAGATTCACTTATAAGAAGTTAGTCTCAAAGGTTTTACTTTAGCAGAATAAAAGGCTGTTTACTTTTGTCCATCAGCAGCATGAATCAGCATGGAGGAGATGGAATATTTTTTATGGAAAATCTGTTCTCTGAAAGCAGGTTAAAAGGAGTGTTTGTTTTTACCTCAGGAATACAGGACAGGAACGGCTTGATGTAAATGTTGGAGTCATGAACTTTGAGGTCGTGGTCACCGAGCCCCCGGGTCACACCGATTGTTGCCAGAACCCGAGCCTGGAAAACACACCCATTATTGACATTAGGTGTTTAAATACATGCTTGATAAAGTGAACTGTGATCAAAGTCCCTATGACCCGCTGACATTACTAAACCAGAACAAATTCGCTAAAATGACCAGCCTTTATCATAAGACTTCTAACTACACCCAAATTTCCTGAAACACAGCCGAGGTTCAGAAGATTTCAGACTGTTGAATATGAACCAAGTATAAGAAAATTAATAAATAAATCTTGACTCGTGATTCAGCACTTTAAATATTCGACTTATTAAGATCATCAATTCAATAAAAACATATAGATTATTAATATGTCTGAAATATTCAATATTTATAACATCTTGCAATGAAACCCTTTATTAAGAAACTTGTTTGAAAAGATCAAATGCTATCAGGACATCTTGATCATAGAAATTAAATCTTGAGTTTTTTTAAATAGTGATCAAATCTGCTCTGAGGAGTTTCAGCGCCTATTTTACACTTTTTGTCATATTGCAACAACCTTCAATACGTTTCTGACTTGATCTTATAGGCATAATTATTGACAATTTATTGATGTTGCTGCTATTTTTCACATATCCATTACAGTAAAATGTCCACAGCTGTTTATTGATTATTTACTCTCCATATACAGAGCATTTATATTGTAAAAACACTGTACAGTATGGTAATTTTTTTTTTTACCTCTTCACTATTTTGGTATGTTATTTTTCTAGACTATTATAAGGTCCACAATTTTTTTCTATGATCTTTTTGCTGCTGTATACACAGAATTTCCCCATTGTGGGACAATAAAAGGATTTTCTATTCAATTCTACTGTATTCTATTCTAAATGCAACTTTTTACAAATTAAATAAGTCATTTAATCAAAAATTTTAAATGTTTTTTATTAAATGAGACATTTAATTGTTTAATTTTACAAGCGAATGGAATATTAAATATTTGAATGTTTTAGACCAGGGGTCTTCAATGTTTTCCAGGCTAAGAACCCCCAAACTGATGGCGAGATGGAGTGGGGATCCCCTAATTATATATATATATATTATATGAAATTGTGTTATATCAATCTGGTCCTATAGTCACTCTATTGCAGATGGAGTAATGTAATGAGAGCAATTTCTCCCTGGGATTATGAAAGTATTTCTGATTCTGATTCCTGGTTGATGGGACAGGTGTTGAGAATGAAACGGTGCCCAGCTTGAAAGAGCTCCTGTGTCTCGCTGAATGTGTTCATTGATGACTGATTAACATCTTCTGCCTCCATTTATCTGTTTACTACAGTGTGATGAATTCATGATAATGTGTATTTAAAGACATTTCAATTAGTGGAAAAAAATGCAGAGGGGAATATAAAAAAAAGTCTGATAAAACAAAACTTTCGCGACTCCCGTGCAGTACCTCTGTAGACCCCTAGGGGTCGCGGACCCCCTGTTGAAGACTTCCGGGTTAGACAAATAAGCAAATGTTTCATCTAGGTATTACATGGTAAATTTATTTATTTTGGACCTCCATATTCCTTTAAAAAAAAAGGTGAAAAACTATTGATAATTGTGTCGCCACCTGACACTAATTATTAATTTTCATATGTCCATTTCACCTTGACACACAAACACATCCAAGACAAAATGATCCATTAACCTTTTTTCCTTCCCCGTAGATGAGAGGAAACTTGAGATCTTCGTCGTCAACAGTCTTGTATGCCCTTAAAGAGAAAGAAAATATTTTTACTCGCAACACAAGTTAAAACCAAGAAAAAAACTTTTTACATTTTAGCAATATGTCAAAAACAAACTGCACAACAACTAGCGGCAGCTGGCTGAAGAATTTAATAAAGCGTTTATCAACAAAAGATAAATATTTTCTTGTTTTCTAGCAACTTAAACAAAGCTAACAAAGACAAACAATATTAATAACATTGAAACCTTTCTGCCATAGCGCAGGGTATTTTAAATATGAAGGAGAAGAAGTTAAGATTTAGCAACAGTCAAAGCTAAAGCTAGCAGCTAGCAAGCTAATGCTTTAAAATAGGAGAGCAGCTTATTTATCACACTGACTAAAAAACGCAAACACAAAACAAAATTGTTTGTCGGAAGTGGAAATTCTAGCATAAAAGCCTTAATGAAAAGTTAGCATTCATAGCTTTTTATTTCAACTTAAAAGTTATGGCTAACTCTGAAGGCTAAGCATATACTTTATTTCCAATTCAAGGTTCATTTAACCACAAAAAATATAAAGTGAGAATATTAAAGCTCAGCCTTGGCTACCCCAGTTTATGAATTATATATTAACCTCATAAAAACATAAGAAAATAAATTCTCTTCTTCATACGGAAGGAAAACAAATCAGTCTCTAGCAGAAAAGTGTAGGGATTTAAGCTTTTAAAAATATATTTTGTGACATTTATTATAAAGACAATAAATTGAAGACAAAAAAATACCACATAAATACCACAATACACTGATATTTTTTTAAATTACATACCGGTATATATAAACGTACTTTAAATTATTTATTAGCAAATAATCAGCAAAAAAAATCAATGAATCAATATCAGATCCAGCTAATTAGTCAATATCAGAGCCGATCAACTTATCGGATCAGTGCATCTCTAAAGTTAACCAATGTTTTAGGCTAAAGTTACATTCCTAAACGCTCTTATAGCCCTAGAAAACAAAAATATTGTTTAAGAAAAAGAAAAGAACTTAAAAACATCACTGGTGAGTTTATTGTAATTAAATGTAATTTTTAACTTGCCCTTTTTATAGATAGTATAACAACAAGTAAAGATAGGTTTCTTAAGAATAATCAAATCAAATCATAAAAGTAATATTAATTTTGGTCTTGATTTAGTTTGCCCAAAGACGTATTTACCCAGAGCAGAGACTAAGGGAATCTCAGCAAAGAAGAAAACTGAGAAAACAACCATTTTTCAGTGTGAAATTTGGAACAGCAAATCCAAAAATACGCATAAATGCTTTGAAGTCTGCTTCAAAAACCTCGTAGCAGATGCTGAAGGGCTTCAGCAGACTAGACTAGATTTGGCATCAAAGGTCAGCAGAAAACATTCTGAACTTCAAACGGCTTCACATCTACCCAGAGTTGACCACTTCTGTCAGACCGTGCTTTCGTCTGGTCATTCGTCTTTCTGAGAAGCAAGCTGTGAACTTTTTCTGACCCCAAAGCAGAAGATTCTGTCTGTCTCTATTTTTTTTCTCTGCTGTTACGCATGAATGTCTGAATCATCCACAATCCTCCCACTCCCTCCCCACCCAGCCTCTCATCACACCCTGAAATGCCTTTAGAATAATCTGCAGCATAATACTGAGGTTGACAATAACAAATCTTGTTGGAAATGTATGGTTTCCTCAGGGAAGATTTCATTGTGAACTCAGGGAGCGGGTAATATGTGCCAGTGAAAGTAAAACGGATTACCGCACTGCTGCAGAGCGCAGCTCCGTCTGTCTACATAACTGAACAGAACTAATCTGAAGCTGCACCCTCTGTGGAAACCTGCTGCTCTCTGCTGTAGAACAGCACAAGCAAATATCATAACCTGTCTTTTCCAAACACTGACTACAAAACCCAGCAGGCTTATGTTGGAAGTTGATGCAAATGTACCGTCTCGAAAATGCAATCTTGTGTCAGATCAGCCCCATGAAATTGCTCTGTGACGTAGGAAACATACCATCCGTTCATGGTAAAGTCCCTGTAGAGCATCTTCTTGCCCACCTCCTTCCTCTGAACTCTGCGGGGGAATTCCAGGTGCGTGAACTCGTTTCCCAAAAGCTGCGGCTGCATGTAACCCTGCAGGACAGGGAAGTATCCTTCGGGTCAGTCATGCAGAGTACTGTAGATCAGCAACTGCATGACTGTTTCTATGCTTCTTTGTTACAGTGCTAGTCTAAAGCATTTTAACCTCTTGAAGTTTAACCAAAAAGAATTTATTAGATTGACTAGGACAAAGCAGTGCATACCTGTAAAGTGGAAAAGAACATAAATATTAGTTTAAACTCCAAACTTGGTCTTTTAGAGACCAAGAAGAAGCCAAACAGAGGACTTAAGACTTCACACAGAAGTGCCTCTATAGTTAAACACAGAGGTGGCAGGATCATGCTGTGGGGAAGCTATTCCTCAGGTGGGACAGGGGAAATAAGCACTGGGAAATCACAGCAAAAAAACATACAGAATTTACTTTATAGTTATTTAAATTCATGTTTTCCATTTACAAAAAAACTAAAGAAAAGAGAAGAGATTGTGACAAGACAAAATTTGGATGATCTTTATTTAGTGAGCTGAGCCTGGTTCTGCTGGAGGTTTCTTCCAGTTAAAAGGGAGTTTTTCCTCTCCACTGTCGCTACAAGCATGATTAGTTTGAGGGATTGCCTTTGAGTCAATGAGTCGATGCAATCAACCGGTTTTCCAATTTGAATGCATGATTTGGTGAACTGTAAAGTGCCTTGAAATGACATGTGTTGCGAACTGGTGCTATATAAATAAACTGAATTGAACTGAATGTACCGCATATTTCCAAATACCCTATGTGTGTTTTTCTTTTCAGATGGAACAAATTGAAACTGTCCTACCAGGAACTGGAGTCGCTGTCGTTCCGATTCTGGTGTGAACTCCGTCGACATAGAAATGATCTCGTTGTTTCTAATGATGATGGCCCTGCAGAGCAGAGGATAACATGTCACACATGTCTGAAGCATACACCTCACCTCCAGCACTAGCTTTTAATTTAAAAGATAAACCTTAAACACACCTGCTGTCACCTGCATTCCCAACATACAGCTTTCCAAGCAGGTAAACCACGGTGAGAGCCGTGCATCCGCCGCTGATGTTGTACGATTGTTTTTCCTTCTCTATCTGAGCGTCCTGGAAAAAAGAAAAAAATCAGACCATTGCGTTTGTTTGCAAAACTCCATTGAGGGAAAACTGTGGCTGTTGTTTATTAATTTTTTGTTTAACTCTGATTTCTTTTTGGCAAATATTTTGGTTTTACAAACAGGCACACAGCATCCCTAATCCACCGCTGTACTTAACAATGCACAGTGTTTCTCCACATTTTCATCCTCTTTTTCTTATTGGACCCTCTTGGTATTTTTGTTGCTAAAAAACAAAAAGTAGACTGATCTAGGGCAGGGTTAAACTTAGAAAGCCTTCTACTGCCATCTAGTGGGAACACAGCTGAAACGCAAGGCCACCTCACAAAGAAAACATCAAACAAAGGCAGGTGCAGCAAACTTCTTTAAATCAACATTCCCTTTAAAAAAACACATTAAAAAAACACATTTATTAATCATCAAAACTATTATTCTGAACTCAGTGAACTGTTTGTGTTGCCGCTTTCACCATCCATGGCTAATATGCTGTTTAATTTGTTAATACATTTTTCTTTTTGTTCAAACTGAGACTTACGTAACATTTGTTTTCACTGTGTCTTTTTTATTATGCAAATTAGAAAGAAAAAGCAATATAATCTTCAAAAATGGGCCCCAAAATTCAGCAGTACATGTAGGGAATCAGTCAGACTGGTGTCAAAATATCCAGTATCGATTTTAAAATGCGTGTATTGGTCGATTTCTGCTGGTATACATGCCAACATTACCACTCCCAATATGGTGGATACACTGCTGTGTCATTTCTACAAGGCAATGAAGCCAATTCTGCTCCTACTTTTCTACGTCCATAGCATCAGCATTAAAGATCGACCAATACGGGTTCTCTGAGGCTGATGCACATTATTTTGACATTTGTCAAATCATTCCCCAATATATGATGCTGATATTTTTGGGTCCATTCTTTAGAGCTGATGTTGTTTTTTCCCCCTTTCATTTATGTGATACAAATGACAGTGATAAAACTCAAAAGCAAAAAAAACCAAACGATGGATATATGTGAAGATTCTCAGTCATCAAGCTTGAAAGACTCAGTTTAGGCAACTGGACGTGAAGTTTCTTCAAACCCAGCAACACCTTGAGACAAAAACTGGTTCACTCAAAAGATAAGACACCCAGAAACAACTAAGACAATGTGGTTTACACTGTTCAGTGTAGTGAAAAATGTGCACAGACCTTTACATTGGAGACTAAAGGCCAATTTATACTTCTGACGCATAGCCTCTGCAACCGTAAAGTATGTCTCTGTGCGTGACCACGTCCCCCTGTTGAACTCACCATCGTTGCGCACCTCAAAATAATCCTGACCACGCGTCGGACGGTCGCAAACCCGCGCAGACCTCAAGCTGAAGTGCGCAGACAAAAAGCAGCTGTGATTGGTCCTTGGTATGCCTTTCCGGCTGTCTGTGTGGTCATCCTTCTCAATTCCGTTCTGGGGAGCGCCATTTTTAAAAACCGAGGAGTAATAACAACAATGGATAACCACGATGAAAGGTTGATCGAGGACGTTCGGAAGTACAACCAAATGTACAATGCCTCAGACATGTTGTTTTGGAAGATAAACACTCCCGCCGGCGCTGCCGAAGACATTCTCCTGACCATCCAGCAAAGTTCTCGCAAGTTCTCGAATAGGCTCCCCCCATTGCGCTTTGGCGGGAAACTGCTGTGCGTCCCTAAAAATTCCAGACCGAGGTTGCAAAAGCATACCAGCAAAACCTGTTCGCGACCAGACCCAAGCGACATTTGATGTGTGCAGTTGCAGAAGTATAATCCGTCCTTAAGCAACCACTACACAGGTGTTATGGCTCAACACAGGAAGGCAATCTCCTCAGGACAGGACACTGCTGTTCAACTACACCTGAAGGACCCTCATTTAAGGACAACAACGTCCATATTGTGGCCAAGCAAGAAGATGGTTTGAGAGAGGGGTTGAAGAAACCCCTGGAAAAACCCTCTGTCAACAGTGGAGGTGGTCTTAGACATACCCTTTCTCCTCTTGGATAAACCTAACCTTTCAAGATTAACAACTGATAGCAAACTGAGGCATGGCTGCTAAATGCACTAATGCATTGTTTGCTAAACTTCCCCTTTTGTTTGCAATCTAAACAGTCTCTATGCAACATTTTCGCAAGTTGAATAAAGAAAAGTCAACAGCATTTAATTAAATGTTGCAATTAAAATAAACTACAATCTATTTTAAATCGCTAAAACTACCATCTTTACAGTGCAATTATATAAGGTTCATCTGTTTATTTTACTGTGCAACAGACTAGGTCATTTAATTAAATTCTACCAGTCCTCTGCAGTTACACTATATCACCCCTAGGGGGTGTACCTTCTAGTTTCGGAGCTACAGCGCTAATGAATCAACCGATGCACATATCTGCGGACAGTAAGTCAAAAAAACACTAAAATAGGCCAAAAATAGAAAGCCAGGCTGCTCCCAGTGCAGAGCTTCCACAACAAAGGCAGCATGTGGATTTTGGCAAACTCTTGCAACATGTGCAGCTGCAATGGAGTAATTTCTGGGAAGTAAAAGCAGGACAGACATGTCTTATGTTTACAGTAAAACATCTGGAAAATCAGGATGCTTCCAGGTGGGAGGTATGAGAGAAAACCAACAGGCTGACCAACCCAGAGGAGTAAGAAAACAGGGATGTTGTGGTTGATAACAAGCGTGACTGAGAGAATTAAAGAAGGAATGAAGTGTCAAAACTAAAAATATGGATTCCCTTCAATTATATAGAAATTATATAGCCATTGAGGGTTCCCAGATACTACTTCTGCAGAGAAATATTTAAAATAAAAAACCTGAAACCAGATTTATTTAGTAAAAACATTCTTAGAGGAAACAACAAACTCTTTAAGCTGCCTGATGATCTTGAGGTACCCACCATCTCCTTGAAGGCGTTCTCTATGGCTCCAATCACCAGGCTCTCGTGTTGAATCTTCTTCTCCATGTAGAAGCGTGGCGGAGGCGGGGTGTTGCATGGTGAGGTGGGGGCGCCGGCGGCCCCCCGCAGCGAGGCAGCCCGTGTCAGGGAACGGTGGGGTCCAGGGGGGTTTCCTTGCAGGTGTGGGCTGCTGTCAGGCTCTTCTCCCAGCACAGTGGGGGGCAGCGAATGGAAGTTACGTAGGATCTCTATGACGGCCTGTAGCTGGCAGGCGATGTGGTGCTGAAGCAGGCGGGAGGCAACAACCGCTGCGCCTGAGCCAGCGTGACCGTCGAACAAGGCCCAGTAATGGAAAACAAGTCCCTCATTCTCCTGTAGATAAAAAAGAAAAAATAGCATGGAAATTCACAATAATTGCAAGAGATTTTTACACCACTTGAACATCTTTACATTTCACGCCTTTATGCAAGAAGATTCCAACTTCTAGATGTACATGCATTTATTGTGTTTTATGGGTAGTTCTGCCTCTGCATATAGGTGGTAAACATAGTGATTCAAAAGTATTCTGTTCCAAGTCTCCAGGTTTTTTTTCCCTTAGAAAATAGAAACCGATCAACAGAGATAAGATCTTATCTCATCTTATGACTCATGGTTTCCCGCACAGCATGGGAGCCGCTGAGGTCAAACCTTTACGTAGGAGCTGTGCAATGCTTTTTGTTTATTTCTTTTCCACTTTGGACATCATCCTTTGCAGAGCTTTCTTCCTTTGATTCTACACAGGTTAGCACAGTGCATCAATTAAAGATGCATTTTGCTCAGCTTATCTTCAATAATCATATTTTCATCACATATAAATGACCAGCTCTGCGCATTGGGGAGTGATATCCTTACAGAAAACAACTGAAACTTCCACTTCAAAAATGAGCATAGAGTTACTTAGCAGAACAACTACTTTTTCTACATGTGCTTAAACCACAATTAAATCATTTATGAGCTGGATTACCTACAACTGCATCAAATCTTATAGAGGATGATCATTTATTTCCGGGTGGATTGTCTAAATAAGTGGTCCTCCTAATTGTCAATCATTCTGGTGATATGTTAACGTAAGGCCGTCCTACATGCTCGTCACGTTAGCTATCTTTTTCTGTGTATGTGCACTTTCAGGTTTCAATTTCAGACAGTCGTTGAAGCTCACCTTTTTTACCGCGGTTCTTTTAAAATGGCCGAGGGTCGTAAGAGAGAAAGTGTCTACGAAGTGATTGAGAAGAAAATAAAGGCCTAACCCCTTGCTCACACTGGCTCCGGTGCGGTTACCGAGCCGACGGAGACCGCAACTCCCGCACACCACCTCTCACACCGGCCTTTTGCTACGGTGCGGTGCGGCTCTGCGGCTCCGGCAACAGGTCCGGAGATTTAACAGAAGTTCACTTGAGTTCACGTAATTTCACGCGATAACACGGCCCAAATAAGGATATTTGCGAGAGCTTGTTGCGGAGGGCTCCGGCACGCCGCAAGGATAGCTTTCTTGCGGAATTTTCTGCAGCGCCGGAGTGTCTCGGTAACCGCAGCCGGACAGCTCAGCAGCCGGTGAGAGAGGTTAACGTCTTTTTAATGACTTGGAATCACTGCGGCGCCGCACCCACCGCACCGCAACGGTAAGACCGGAGTCGGTGTGAGCCTGGGTTAAGAAGTAGGGGTAGAAATCACACCCATCATGGTGATTCAATTCAGTATCGATTTCCTGACCTAACAATTCAATTATTTTCAATACTCACGAATACACCAAGATACGATTCGGTTAATTGTTTTTTTTGGGTTTTTTTTTGCGGAAATCAACTCATGAAGATGGACCAACTAGAAGAGCGAGGTGCGCGCGAACACTGTGACCCTTTTTCCACCTGGATCCCCGCTCTTTTTCGCCCTCATATCCCTCCATTGTCGGACAAACTCGCCTCCACTTCCTCACCGCCTCGGTCGTAGCTAGACCCACAGCGTATACCGCAGACCACGCTTCAATATTGGGCATAAATAAAAAATGTCTGTGTCAAGCTCACTGCTACACACTGCTGCAGTAGTATAACCAGGAAGCGAGGTAGCAGGGCAAAATAGCTTTAGCACTGCCGCAGCACGTAAGTCAGAATTACGCCCAGGAGCAAGTGGATAAAAATAGACCGGAGGAAAAAAAAACAAAAAAAAAACATGAATCGATACTCTTGCGGACGTATCGATGCATCGGATCGTCGGCTGTTGGATCGATGCATGGATATCGATTATTATTTACACCCCTACTAAGAAGAGGCAGATATAAACCCGGAATGTGGAAATCTCTCCTCGCAAAGCATTATGGGATTTGCTGTTACAGCGGCCCGCTGTCGCCACAGGCTGCTGATACCCGACAGCGGCGTCTAATAACAAAGATGGCGCAGTGGACCAACGGGGAAGTTTCCGAACGGTAAGTTGACTGTGTTCACTATATACACTGTAGTCCCCGCTCTATATAGTGATTGAGAGATTTAGGGGTTAGGGTGAACATTTGGACACAGTAAGCTTGTATGAGCTCTGAGAAAAGCAACTTTTAAACAGAGCGTGCATGAGAAGAAATGGGCTAGTGCACGCTGTTGCACGCGCATTTTTTTTTAAGTGGAGAGGGCAGGTCTTTTAAGAAATTCGAGAAAATCCTCCACAATACCTTTAAGAGAAAAAATACTAATTAGGGGTGTGGGAAATAAACGATTTGGCAATATATCATGATTATGCAGCTGCGCGATATGATTTCGATCTTTCAGTTCCTAATATCGATTTTACCTAAATCAACGAGGGGAAAATGGACTACCTCTGTACCGCCACTCTGGTAGATGGCACTGCTGAGCCTTTTTACTGTACAGCACATCACCATCTCTGTAGTTGAAGCAGCCACAGTGGAAGACGTGAACTGACTCAAACCCGATGAAATTATACAGCACTTGCTTTTTATTTTGATAGCTGGGTAAAATATCGCAATATATAGTGATGTTGCAATATTGTGATAGTATTGTATTCTGACCCAAGTATGGTGACACTACTACAATACTCACCCCTAATGCTATTGTTAGCAAAGAACATTGGCAAATTGCTCTGCTTTTCAAAAAGAAAGTTTTAAGATCAAATGTCATTTCAGGAGTTGTAAGAATATCAAGCAGACGTCTTTACTAAGTTGGTTTCATGTATCGTTTAATGTGTATTCCACTCACAATACAGCATTAACTCATAATGTTCTTCTAAATGCTCATATAATCTGATTCCATGTTCTTACCTCTCCCAACATGTTCTCCACCCGGAGCCCGAGGGCCTCGCCGTTTGGCAGCGAGTTGCGTCTTTTGGCCGTCGGCGTCTTGCTGGGCGTAGACGGCGGACAGTAGCTCATCGGTCTCATTCTAGCCACAACCAACTCGCAGCAGGCCTGGTCTTCATTCAGCGCACTCTTCCCAGCATTGATCACCCTGAACAAAGAGCACAGGGTGGAAGGTTTAGGTGAAACCTCACCTCAGGCTTGTCCTTTTAGAGCAGCTTTGAAACATGTTTCAATCTGAACATTTTTTGCCACAGATTACAGATGGCTGTTTGTGGATCACTGCAAGGTCACAGTAATTAGTCAGAGCCACAACTTGCGCGTTTGCAGCAGCTGCCTATTAGTATCAACTGTGACTGACTGCTTTCAATAAATTGGCATGGAGCAGTTTTCATTTTCACATGCACAACTAGGAATACACATGCTTATGATTATTTGTGTTTTATTGAGCTCTCTATTCCTAGATAATTACAAAGCTGTAAACGTGTTTATTCTACATATATATCTAATAATTTAACTTTGGTAGGAAGATTAATCTGACTATATCCGATTAAATAAAAAATAATTTGCCTCGTTCAGTGGTTGCCAACCTTTTTTGACTTGTCTATCCCTTTAGGCATTTTGTCTCACCATGAGTCCCCATCTCACTCAAAAGTATTGATGACTGTCCAAAAGTGGAACATGCAATAACTGAAATATAGACTATTTTCAGACTGATCTCTGGTGAGAAGCAGAACGGAGGGATATAGACCGGGATCAATCTATCTATCCATCTATCAATCTATCATTTAGTTTTTTATAATGCTATGCTTTCCATCTCTAATAGAAACATAAATATGTTGCCTGGAAGTTAGTAAGGAATTGTCATAATTACAAAGTAAAATCATATTATCTGAGTAACTCCCCTATAATCACATTTAAACTTGATGAATTGGGAACAAAAATTATAGTCAGACTTAATAAGTTTTACTTTGATTTTATCAAGACACCTGAGCTGCTTTGATGAACTCTGATAGCTCAGGGTGAAAAACAGCTGAGTGACAGTCATTCTGGCAAACCAGGCTAAAATCAGAGTGTATTTCCTGTTGGTGCCCCTTTAAGCATTCGGCATCCTGAGGTGAGTGAAAATTCACCAGTACAGACAAACCCTCTACATAGTTGTGGTCAGAAAACTCTTTTTCCTATTAATTCCCCCCATAAATATTGATTTATGAGAACAAATTTTTGCATTTACTTACTTGATAAACATTTTCACTTTCACAGTTGTTGATTTACTATTATGAATTGTTTGGAAGAGAAAATAATTGCTCCCATAACCAGCCAGAATCTCAAGGTTTTATTCATAACATTTTACTTTTCTGCAACATTATTCTTTTGGACTAAACCGTTTTCTGAAGACCTTTTTAAGATTTTAAGATAGTGAGAAAAACCAGTGGCAGTGAATCCCCGATTGTTCATACTTTGCCTTTTCTAAAAAGGGCTTTAAATCAGTCCAAGGTGTTTTTATCCACATTGGCTCAAATCCTGACATTTAAAAAGGAGGCAGGAAAGCAGAAAAAAGCTTTAGCCTCACTGCAGGCAGTTAGCCAAGCCTTGTAGCTAAACCAGATCCTGGAAAAAGACAGAGACTACCGTCTCATCTGTCTTTAAACTGCTGATTAATTTTGGCTGTTCGGCTGATCAGGTCCAAACGATTTCACCTGCAGCTTCTCTTGGTGAGTTTGCTTCATCGGACCTCACATCCGGGACTTGGCCTGTCAATTAGACGCACTGCGACTGTACAACAGTTGCAGTCAGCTCAGAAAGGTCTCCTGCGCAGAGAACTCGCCTGTTGTTTGCATTGCAGAGGAGCTACTGCAAAAATACAACTTTAACGACAGATTTTTGTGCCCTAGGGCGGAAATAGGTCACCAAACCGACGACGAACAAACAGCTTTACTTGTCATTAAAGATGAAATATTTATCTTTTACATCTAAAAAATATGTATTTCGAAATATTCTAAATTTATAATTTAACTTTTATTTGTTTATTTTTTATGCCTTAATCAAGATCGTTAGGTGGATAGGGTGGCGCCCTAGCGCCCTCTATTAAACAGCCGCCACAGAGAAAATCTCTGTCTAGTCAGACCAGGGCAGAACTTCAAGCTTTAAAGCCTATGGTCGTCTTGTTCTCATTCCTTTGCAAAGAAAGATAAAGTGCTGACTGAAAGTGCAGAGTGAAAACAATCGATCTGGTATATTTAACTAGACTGTATAGTTAAATACTTTTTTCTTAGGATAAAATGGGAATTATTAGAATTATCACTTTACCGCTGCCACAGTAAGAGGTACTTTGTAGCAGAGGAGAATATTTTGATTATATTTATGGTTGTCTCTGTTGTCTCACACAAAGAATCACAAAAAAATCCCGGGTTTGAATCCCGACGAGGCATTTTGGAAAAGGCTTTGCATGTCCCAACAGATGCACGCCCAAAATGTAGCATTTTAGGATCAACCCCTTTTAATGACAGTGAAAACAGGCATGTTTTTCTCTGTGTTGCTCTGTGATGCAACTCCATTTGTGTCCATTTAGCTCCCTACGAAACCCACAAGATAGTATACAGCTTTCTGCAGCTATTATGGTAGGAAGCGGCTAAAGGCAGCGGGCCAAAACACAAACACATTTTTTGAGTGTTTAATTGCAAAGACTTCCAACAATTTAACCCATAGATTAGTTAAACTGCTAACATCAGTAAACAAACCCTTGGACGTATTTAGATTTTCTAAAAAACGGCTTAAAATACATAGTTTAATTAAAGAAAAGGGAGAAAGGAAGGGGAGAACAGTGTGTCTGACAGACGTATCTGGAGGCTGTAATTAAGTGTGATGGTGTGAAAATGGTAGGTCCATTTATAGACATAAACTGTTGGTTGTTTTTCTATTCCTCAACCCAAAAAAGCCAATCAGCTTTATAAAAATAGAGATCATAGGAGATAAATATTTCAAAAAAGCTTACAATTTCTACCCAGAGTATTAATTGCATGGAGTCTCTTTTTACAGAATTGCTGTTTGGGAGTAAGTTAATTTAAGTACATCAGATCACTGCCGATCATCATAATTAAGGCAGCAGAAATGAAAAAAACCACACGGTCTGACCTAAATATAGACGAGAATATTAGGTCAAGATAAAGAGGAACTTGATCTCTCTTTCAGAGATTAAGATGTAGCTTCTTAGCAGCTTTTTCTTCTAAAATGTTGGATGAATCTACAGTATAATTCGTCAACAATCTTGATTTGTCACATGTTCGTCAGGAGGTCAAGCAGTCTTGGAGGTGGGACCCAAACTGGTTTATAGAAAAACAAAAACAATGGCAGACATGTTTCTTATATGGATGTGGAACCAAATTGGAAGAAACTATTTTAAAAGGATATACAGCTGCAAAATAACAAGAAAAAACAAAAGTTATTTTAAATGAACAGCTAATGAAGAAATACAAGACAAAAAACTCTAATGCATTAATGAGACCATACACCCCACTTCAACTCTGGAGAGGGAAACAGCAGAGGTGAGTATTTGGGCTTTGATATTTTACCTCCTCAATTCATGCATTTCCCTCCTAGGAAGAGCCAAGCAAAAAAAAAGAAATACTGAAAAGTGAAATCAATCCACCTCTCTACAAAATAAAACAAGATGAGGCTTACAGACTGCTCCCTTGGATTGGTCTAGATCTGGACCTAGCAGGGTGGTTTAGCAGAGAAATGTTACTCATTGGGGATGTTTCGCCGCAATTATTCAGTGCTACTGTCAAAACAGAGGAAAAAGCCTCCTAAACTCAGATTATCTGCTGCGAACATGTGTCGGGAAGTGGGGGGAAAAAACAAAAGAGAATGTTTTGGACAGTTGAAATACTCAGCTGGAATCAGCTGTGCTGCAGTGAAGTTGCAGCTGGTGCCATTGTTTGCTTCCCATAACTAAATCGCTTCATCATTTGCAGTTAGAATGACTTCATTTCTCTGCTATTCATTTTGTTTGTTCCACACAAAAACAATTAGCTCTTCACTCATTAGGAAACAAATCTCTTTTTCTGCTCTATTGTGAAGCATGTCATGCTCATTTAGTCTTTTTCCAACCTCAGCATAGGAATCTCACCCATTAAGATGCAAATGCAATTAATAAAAAAACAAGATTCCTAATAAAAGCTTTTGTTACCATACTAAAAAATAAAGCTTACTAATGAGAACTTAGATCAGCAGAACTTGCCCCTGAAATCTGATGATGTCCCTTCAGTTTGCATGTAGAACTTGTAGACAACTTATTATTGGTCATAGTTCTATGACTTCTGTGACGCTCTCTGCTCTGAGTACTTCTGGATTTAACTTTATTTATCAAGAAAACAGTTAAACAGCTTTTAGAGAGATATAAACATTGGGTCAAAATATTGGATGGAAACCAGTGTTGTTATCGTCAATGATGACAGAATCATTTCTTTGACCCTCCTTTTTTATGACGTTAACAAAAACTGACAAGCTAAACACGAATCTTTTATGACCCAAACTTGACGACTCATGAGTGTGAGTTTTCGTCGAGGAGACGAGACTAAATAAAAATGTTAGTGGTTGATCTGTCAGATGTTTAAAATGCATCATTGTCAGCCGTGCAGCTGCGTCCTGTTTGCTCACGCCGCCCACCTGGCGTGTGCACATTCTGCATGACTATAGATGGATCATGGCAGCAGCGGCAGGGGAGAAAATAAGCCGGAATCGTCCGGTACTGCGAGTTCAACTCTGACACACTCTGATCTTCCAGATGTTCTTGTGCAGAAATGCGTCGTTGTATGCACCTATCTCAGAGTCAGCACTTTATGCTCCACAATGTAGTACGGCTCTTCCTGCTCTTGCTACTTAATAAACTATATGTGGCTGATCATCCTCTGACAAGCATAAAAAAATCTTTTTGTCAAACTATTAAGATTTTAATACTAAACCTTCTTTAATTTCTACCAAAAGGAATCCCTAAATGATATCCAAAGCAAATATGTCATTGCATTCTATTTGAACATTTCAATATTTTAGTTAAAATATTTAAATTTAAGTCTGGATTGCCAAGGCATTATTAGGCAATTATGTAGGTTCTCTGTGTATTTTTTTTTTGTAAATAAGACCCCCGTGAAT